CTAGGAAAGATGTTAAAAAAATTTTGCTGAATTGATTTTAGGCAAACTATCAGTTTTTTCGAAAATTGTAAAAAGTGAACACATCAAAAGTACAAAACTGAAGATAAAGATTTTTGTCTTGATCAGAGTCTTTTGTAAAATATCAGCCATTTGAAAAGGTAAAGTAAATTTAAAAAAAGAAAGAAAAAAACTAGTAGATTTCGCGTAATTTTTGTGTCTGAAATTTATTAAATTTCTATTTTTTTCTCAAAAACCTCTCCAAATTGTTTCTTCAATCTTATTCTACGGATAGAAGAAGGAACGTTTAAAAGCTTTGCGCGGGTCTCATTCTCGGTAAACTCTTTGAATTTTCGAGAACTTCAAATTTGGAAATAATGTGGGAAAAATACGTGATGTTGTATCACCACTTCTTTTCTTTATCGCACTTACTTTGTAAGAAGAGAAAGTTATACAATGTCCGGAGAGGAAACGTCGAAACTTCTCAAATAAGCTCTTAAGACAATTTTAAGCATTTTGTCAATAAACTACAAGGATATTCCGAATGGTTGAGTCGCAATATGCAATCAAAAGTTGGTTTAAAAAATGCTTTGTAGGCAAAAATTTGCATTGTAGAAGCATAGAAATACTCCAGAAACATGTAACTTGTTTATTATTTGTAAAAGAATTGAATATATCTGTTCAGAGAGAAAAATTAACACAAATAAATAGCACTCAATTTACACATTTCGATTGCTTTCTTATTTCTCGGTTAATTTTTCTTTCTGAACAAATATATTCATTTCTTATGCAAATAATAAACAATTTACATATTTCTGGAGTATTTTTATGCTTCTGTAATGCAAATTTTTGTCTAGAAAAGCAGCTTCTGCAAAGCATTTTTTCAAAAATTCGGAATTTTCCAGTAGTCTATTAGACAAAATATGCTTAAAAGTGTTTTAAGATCTTATTATCGAAGTTTCGATATTCCCTCCACCGTCAGCCTGTATAATCGTACGCCGGGAAACGGCGAATTATCGGCCGAAAAAATCGTATTGCCGGGCCCTGGAAACAAAAAAAAAATGGATAATTCTGGTCCTAAATGTAGTAAATTACCAGCTCTAACATGCGGTGAATTCAGATCCATATTTTGTGGGTCTTTGATACGGAAAAATTGATTGAAGGCAAATCGTCTCTCCGTCGGTGCGCCCGTGGTCAATGCGCCTGTGGTCAATGCGTTAAGCGAGTTTGAGAGATCCGGAAGTTATCAGACTGTATTTGGTCCTTTATTATTTATTTATGCAAGTTATTACTCAAAGGCGACCCGGTTCTGCTACTGAAGAAAGCCATACATGGGTTGCCTGGAAAGAGGGCTCCATTGCAGTCAATCAAAAGGGGTACATCGATGAGATCCTCGAGACGTATCGGATAAGTGACTGCAACTCAATCTCTACCCAACTAGACCTTGCCACCAAGCTGGTTTTCACCACCTCATGTATTTGTACATTGGACTTAGCTCTGATATAACTTAAACCGTAAGCCATCTCAGCCAGTTTAACAATTGTTTTGGTGAACTTTATCGGAAGGCTGCTAAAAGGGTCCTCCGTTATCTCAAGGCGACTGTTCGGTGAACTCGAGAAAAAGTGAACTAGCTGTAATGTTCACTGATGTCAATTGGGGCAACTGCCCTATACACAGAAAGGAAGTCCTATACAAGATACGCGTTTCTATTTGGAGGAGCTGCAGTCAGTCGGAAATAGCAGCAGAACGTCGCTGTGTCTTCCACAGCGGCCGAGTATATGATGTTATCTGTTGCCACCAAGGAGGCCATCTACATGAGGAGGTTAGCCTCGGGGTCAATACGAAGAGCAGCGTCATAAACCATCACAACGTCGGCGCCCACAAATTGTCATCAAATCCCGCGTTGCACGTGAGCATCAATAGCGTGGATATAAGGCACCACTTTATTCGTGATGCCGTGAACAGGAAGGCGGACGTTTTGATTAAAGGACTTACCTGAGTGAAACACGAAAACTGTGCAAAGGGATTGGGATTGAGACTCGTGTTATTGTGTCTTAACGTTGTGAATCAGTTGTGTTTCGAGGGTAAGTATTGAATTGAAACCAGATTTGCTGCATTGAAAAACATTTGTTGTACAATTGAAACCACCATGTTTTCTTTTTTACTCAGTGGTGCACTTTTAATTGGACTCGAATCCTTACTTCCACTTTATCAACAAAGTACATTTTAAATTTGTCATTAAATAAGAATTATTCTCTTCCATTAATGTAAAATTCTACCAGTCATAGGAGTAAATATGTAAGAATATTGAGTAATCCTGGTTGTCAAGGAGACAAAATTTATATCACTTGAAGTCAGAAAGAAAATACATTTATTGAAGTTTACAATTTTTATACGTTTATTTGTAATAAATCTAAACATCAAACATTTAGTAAAATACAAATTATATATAAAAAGGTGATATAGGGATATAATATTTAAAATGACTTTGAACTAAGTTTTTGGAGCTGAGAAGCCTTTTTAAAACCATAAAAAACAAAGTTTATATAGATTTCATCATCAATTAACTATTACCTTCAATCTGGAGAATGAAAACTCGTTTTTCCCCCTAATGTTTGTTGTTGACAGGAAAATTATATTATGAGTGAATCAATGTAACTTAGTCATTCTTTAAATACTTTAGAAAGTAAGTTTTTTCACAATTTCACAAGCTTTTATAGCTTCAAAAATTTGATTAGAAAACTAAGAAATGGCTGAAAGTTGCAAAACCATGGTTAAAACATAATAATCAAGAAAATGAGAATAAACATACAATGTTCAGCTAAAATAATATTTGTAACATAATATTCAGCACTTTGAGATGGTTCAACTTCTATTACAGTTATAAAATCAAAATAATGAATGGAGAATATGTAAAAAATTGTACAGTCTCTGTAAAGTACGTTTTAAAATCAGTGCTGTTTCTTAATGACAAGTGGTCAAAATAAAATAAACAATTAAGGGGGAAAATATGAATTAAATTACAAATTGTATAATTTTATATAAAACTAAGTTATGCATTTTATGAATGTAAGGATGTAATCATAATTCACAAAAATATCATTTTAATTTATCATTTATTATCGTGTTTTAAAACTTAATCATCATTGCTGTCTTCATTTATAACTGCTTCATAGTTTTTTACTTTGAAAATTTGTTGAGGATATGGGAAGGTCATATTTTAAGATCATATTCTGAAAAGACTTTTTGCATGATCAAAATAATATTCAACTGCTACCACATAGGAACAAAACCAATTGTTTTCAACATGATGAGACAATCACATTCGTAATGTTTAATTCCATTATATCTAATAGTATTCAGGTCATAGTGAAATAACATTTGTCTTCTTTGCAATTGAACAGCCCAATGTAGAAAGAGTACCTGTTCACATTTTGGCTATTTTTATGTTCCAATTGACATGCCTTCCTTTTAGCTTAAGCTTTCACAGCGCAAAAAAATCGCTTCTTGGCTTTTGTCTTTCTTGCAGAATCCGTGAATTAAAAGAACAACTCAATGCAGATAGGGGGAACATGTTGCAAAGATGGAATGTTCTTGCTTTGGTTGAGTTTGGCAGCCATGAGAAATTTCTAATGGCTGTGTTGTGTGCTATATTTTATTGTTGTGTTTTTCAGTTTCAATATTCTTAAAATAGTTTTGTAAATATTTTTATGAGGAAAGGACATTATTTTTAATTTAAAAACCTGAAGAGAGAGAAAGATCATGAAGGCAAGAAACAGCGTAATTCAGAACCTAGGAAATTGAATGTTATTAAGAAATGGTTAAGTAATGTTGACAAAGTTTTGTGAATTCTAAACAGCAATAATTCCAGAAAGAAAGGTGAATATTGTAAATGTTTAAAATGTTTTGAGATCCCTCATTAAGATACGATTTTAAGTTATTTCAATAATTTGAACCAAAAGAATATTCAGTACACTCACTAGCAAAGGGCTTATACCTAAAGCCCTAATGATTCTAGTACTGATTTTAATGACCTATAGAATTTTTTGATTTAAAAATTAATTTGTGATTTTTAAACTTCAACAAATGATTTTTTACTCTAATTCACACTTCAGTTTTCTTAAACTGTGTATTTTCACTTAAATACTGTATTGATACGAGAATCAAATCATATTTTTGAGGCATTGGCTTTAAGCATTGTCAGAAATATTATTATCATGAAAAAGTATAAGGAAATTTCCATCCAATGCAAAAAGGGTACATTTGTTTGTGTAATATCTACAATATTAAAAAAATATTTCAATGAATTTTTTAGTATACTATGTTTAGATACTGCAAATTTTTCTGCAGAAAAAGTTACAAAATAAAATATTGATAAGCCTTCTAGTAAGTCTATTTTTTTTTCTCTTCTGTACAGTTGTGAAAATGTAAGTGTTTCCCTTTCTGCATTAGGCAATTCACTTGTTAAGCCTTGAACTAACCTCACATTTGAGAACTGTTCTTCTTTGGACTAAATACTGCACCTTAGCTTGTCAATTTTCCATGCACAATTTGGTGAGATAAGAAACTCTCTGTGCTAGTGTAAATGTAATAGTAAAAGGATTTTAAAATATTTTTCTGTCAATTCTGGGAATCATCCTCATCTGTCACTGTCAATTTTCTTTTGAATTTCCATTTGCTTCATCTACTACTTTTGTTAAAGAATTATTAACATTCCTTCTTACAAGCAACTGTTTGATAATTTTGTCTTGTATACTCATTGCAGTTCAAGGATTATCCAAACACACCAACTAGAAAGCAAGCTGTCTAAACTGATGGTATTAACTTATTATTGAACTGATTATGGAGATGTTTCCATTTATTTACGGTTATTCTATTTTTACCTTTTTCTTCCCATTTGAATTTTGTAATAAAGTGACATTCACTTTACTCTTTCAATTGATTGTTGTTGTTTTTTTACCTTTCAAAGCTGAAATTAATACCGCATTATAAATATTAATATTACGTTATAAATTTGAACAAAATAGCTCCTTTTTTTATCTGTTGAATGCAAATAAATATATAGAAATGAGTGTTTGCAGGAAAATGTTTGAAATTGTCAGGATTTTGTTTTCTATTTAGCCTAATGTTATACATTTGTCCTCTAACAAAGTGAATTGCACTACATATTAAGAACAAATTGGGACACAGTCTTAATATACTCTCAGAATTAAGAGTCAAAGTCACAAAAACCAGCATAATATAACAAAATTCTAATATTGGGTAAATAATAATGGGTAAAGCCAATAAGGGTCCTTTATCATAATGTCCATGTATTCAAATATCCAAATGGGACAAACTTGAGCATCTGCCTGAGAGTGCCCAGAAATGTGGTTCTTCACATTCCCATTACTGTACTGGAGTTACTGCAGAGTTGTTCACTCGCCCACCAAATGGTCACCAGATCACATGTAGAAGGTAGAAATTAAATGAACAAAAACTTGGAAACATTTTTGTTTCAATTTTTTTCCTTTCTGACAATGTAAAACTTGTACATTAGCACAATCCATTAAAAGTTTAAATGTGAATCACAAATAATTAAATTTCAGTTTGTTTATGTTTCACATGTTTGCACACATTTTCTTAAAGTTCACACTACTTCATTCATAATAAAATACTTTCTCACTATTCTCTGGCCCAAATGATACCTTTTTTATTATTTTTCTTTTTAAATTTATATTACTTCCAATCACTTCATCTCTGTCACTACTACTAACACTACCACTTCCTCCATTACCATCATTATCATCATTTATTTTAACAAAAGAATTCTTGTCTGGAATAATTATTTTTTTATATTTTTGGGATCCTTGCTTTTGATCCAACTTTTGGACAGGAAATTTTCCCACACTTTTACGAATACAATCTGCAGTTCCACAGATAATATCTCTAGCAGGCTTCTTTAACATTTCACTCTTGCCATTTTTGGATTTCATAATGTCATTTGAAACTGTGCCCAGAGAACTGATGTTTATCAATTCATTGTTGTTTTCTGCATCTTTGTCATACAAAGGGAATGAAAAATTATCCTGTAAAGTGACAGTGGCTGTAGAGTTTAAATATTCATTTGAATTAATAGTTAAAACTATAGGAAGCTCTGAAGTATTGTTCTCCAGTTTGCTATTGCCCAATGCAAATTCACCCAGACTTTGGGTGGGTGCAAGTTGATGATCCAGAATTTTGCTTGAAGCTGAAACATGCTCACTGCCTCCTTTATAGATCTGAGAAGCAATTGGAACCTGTTGATCTTTTGACATTCCTTTAGATTTTGTGGAATCTATCTGCTGGTTTGCTCTTAATAGTCTGATATCAATTTGGCCTGGGAGGTTATTTGCTTGAAAAGAAGATAGAGAACTATTTGATATGACAAAAGTCCCTGGTACTGTATTTCCATTAGGTAATGTGACAGTTTTTGTAACTTGTCTCCACCCTTTCAATATTGAAGGAGGAATTTTTGAAGCAGGTACTACAAAAATATTTGGTTTTACTGGATCTTTAGAATCGGAGACACTGCAAACATTCTTGTCAGCACTAGTTTCTGTAATTACATGTGATTTTGAAAGATCTTTGTTTTCTTCATGTACTCTAGGGTTTTCTTGTGCAGAAACAGAGGACTGAATTGGAATGTACATTGAGTCTTGCATATGCACATTTTTTTTCATATCTAAATGAAATGAACAAATAATTAGAATGGTCATGCTATTTCTTCAGAATTTCTTATTTAAAAATAGCACATGCATGCAAAAAATTATCAATATTCCAACAATTCAAGAGGGAAAAAGTATAAATAAATATATTTTACAATACCTTGATTTCGCTTACTAGCAACAGCTTCTGAAGCATTGACCAATGTTAAAGGCATCTGTGTAGCATTGTATGAATGAACATTGGCAGATTTTGTGATGTGTCCCTCTGCTGAGGACGTTTGTGATGTGACTGTTTCAGATTTGGCAATTTTTTTATTTCTTCCTACCACTTGCTTGCTAGGCAGTTGCAAATAATGTAATAAACTGTTGTCTTTTGTTGTGCTAGTTTCTCTTTTACTGACTACATCTTTATGTTCTGAAGTTTTCATACTATCGTGGGCAATGAAGAGGGATTTCTCTTCACTGGACAGCTCTGGTATTTGTTTAGTATGACTTGTACCAACTGTAAAAAAAAAAACAAAAAAAAAAAAAAAACATGATCTATAGATAATGGTTGTAAAGAATAAAATGATCCATTATACTAGTAACTATTGTTACAAACCTAGCTGGGATTGTTTCAGAGGCAATGATAAGCTTTCTGTTGTGAATTTAGGTTTCTTTTCTTTTTTCCTGCTAGTACGCCTACTACTCAAGTTATTAGTAGTAGTTTTATGAGCCCTCTTTGCACTTTCATCTATTGTCATTTGCAACTTCAGAGGTTGTGATACAAGTGGTACAAAGGCACCACTCAGGAAATCTCCTACCTCATCCTACAGAAAAAAATGCAATAATTATGCAAGGTAGGCTACTTCCAGGGCAAAAAAATAATTTGTACATAATAGTATTAATCCTTTAAAATAATTCTTTATAAGTTATTTTATTATATAAAAATTTTATTATATAAAAATATTAATCCTTTATATACTCTTATAATGTTATATTACAGTTTCACTTTTATTTTTAGAGAATTGTCAACATTTTTTCAGCAACATCCTTTTTCTAAATACAAAGTATTACTTATTTACTACTGGTATCTGATTTATTGAGGAGCTGCATATAGAAAGCCGTTTTTAAATAATACATTTAACAACAGCATAAATTTAAATTAAAAGCAAAGAAACATCACTTTAAAAAACCACTCATAGAAGCCTTGCATAGTTAAAAAAATATATATTATGAGCCCTCTCTGAAGAATGAAACAATCACTCCTCTCTGCATATTGAACACATAAACATATCTTGAAATTAACAGTATATAACACTAGACTAATATAAATTTCAAAAAATACTTTCCAATATGCAGCGGTCAACCATTGATTGAGTAAAACCACTTCTAAACTTCACAGAGTGTTTAACAAGAAGGTTATCATCAGCAGAACCTACAATCAGTAAACCAGTTCTTACACTCATTCTCTCACGAATATCCTCCAAGTCTTCTTGCCTAAAAGAAGAAATAATATTCAGATTTAGATTAATTCAGTTAAAAAGAAAAACAGTAAAAACTGTGTATGATGTACGGGGGAAAAGATTTATCTGCGTTTTCTTGAGTTCCACAATTCTTTCCCATCATTTTAACTATAAATAGTGGAAAGGTGAGTAAAAGTTTAATAAAAATAAATAAATAAATAAATAATTTTTAAAAATAAATTTTAAAAATCATAAGATTAGCAATATTTGAAAAAAAGTCATTTTCATTTCTGAGTTATAGAAAACTTATTTGCATCAGTACACAAATTGCAAGTATGATTTTTCTGCATTGCTAACAAAATAGCAACTCGCTCTTACCTCTACTCTTACCATTACAAGCGAAATGAAAGTTCAACAAAACGTGCGCATATTGAAGCTACATTTACATCCAGAAGCAAAACAAGGGGCCATATCAGCATTTCCTCAATGGATTAGGGAAACTGGACAAAAACCTGATTCAGATAGGGATCATTGACCCAGAAGCTGAAGTACATTATTTGTTACAAACATATGAAGTCTTTTTTTAAAAATTATACAACACAAATGTAAACTAAATCATTATATATCAATGTTTTGTTAAAATAGACATTATTTTTCTTTTTGATAATGAGTATAGTCTCTAATTGTATAGAAACAGTTATGCAGCAGAAAAGATTTTACATTTAACTTAAATTTGTGAATCGACTTTAATTGTTTAATGTCATCTGGCAGTACATTGTAAAGTAACGTACATGTATTGTATGTGGATTTCTGATAGTGAGCTGTTGTTACTGACACTTGATGAACGTGATTTTTACGACATGTGTTGTAATTATAAATATCAGTATTGCATGAAAATATGTTCCCACCGTTAAGTAAGTCACTTTTGACAAATATTACAGATTCGAAAATATATAGGCAAGGCAGTGGAAAGATTCCAATGATGAGAGGCCTGCAGGGATCACGTGAATGGCATTTTTTCATTATTCGAATAATTTTCTTTTGCAATTTAAAGGTCTGTGTACTACAAGATGAGTTTCCCCAGAATTTTATACCATATGTCAGTCAGGAATGCACATTTCTAAAATACATGCAACAAGCTGCATCAGGTAGTTCAGAAAATATTTTATCAAATGAAACATGTTTGAAATTCATCACAAGATAACTAACCTCACAGAAGCAGAATTTTGACCAATAACAAAGAAAGCTGGACATGGCAAGTCTAACAAAATATCAGCAGGATATCCTCTTTCCCCAAGAATGGTGAACACAGAAAAGCCCAAGCATACTATAGCACTCACTCGTGCTGTACAAGCAACCTGAATTGCTATAGCAGACCCAGCTTTCCAGCCCACTAAAATAATTCGCTTTTCAGGAGAATTTAGTTGCAGTTGAGCTACTTTAAGTCGTGTCGCACACATCAGCTGATCCAGTTTTGTAGGTGAAGTTTCCTTTTCATCGGATCCTTTAAAAAATTTACAATTTCTTATTAAGTATCATTTGCTAAAACAAGAAAATATGAATTTTCTTATTTTTAATGTAATTTCCTTATGATTTATAATCTGATATTATGAAACATATTTTTGTGTGTTTCAAACTAAAAGTTTTGTTTGTTTGTTTTGAAATGCTGAATTTAATTTTAAAGATCTAATACAAATGAACAGAATGTAATTTTTCTATTAAAACGTGAACTTTATTAGTTCATTTCTAGTAACATTACTAGTTAATAACAATGCATATACCTGATTGAACAATGATTGGAACAACAGAACCAAGTGCAGAGAAATATGACTTCCATTGATTCACCCTAGGCGACGAAAATTCTTCTTTCATGTGAGAAGGTGGTACCATAACAATAATGGGATCACCGGGTAGTTTATCCTATAAAAAATGTTCAATATAAAATACTGTTGAACAAACAAACAAAATTCACAAAATATATTACCAAAATCTGTTCATTGAGACTTGACATGACAGGATCCCAGGAACCCCAGGATTTCTTCATTACTTGTTTCATCACCTTCAAATTTAAGAGATCAACTACTGGTTTAGATCCTAACACACGATTTATAAGCTCTGGGCATTTTGTTCTTAGAGTCTGTAAAAGAAGTAATGAGAAACATTGTAATAAAATTCAGTTTCATAATTTTATTATTTAACAATTTCTAAAATACAATTTGAAATTTCCTTATTATGTTTTACTACAATTGAAAATACCAATATAATAACAATCAATGAAATAACAAAATATTAAATTTGTCTGCAGTATAAAAATAGAAACCCTTCAAAATTCTCATTTTTTATCTTCTTTTATATGTTATATGAAATTTACTGACTGCCTTAGGATTAAATATCTTCCAAATTTATACAATAAATCCAAATTAATTCAGAATAACATAGGTTTGATTGAGGAACTGTGACCCATGTCAAACAAATAAGACAGAATTGAGACATATTTTATCTTTACTTTACATGTATTAGTAGTAAATATGTTTATGATACTATTTATATGGTACAATCTATGCAATTTACCTCCAAAGCATCAATATAAATGGTCAAATAATCTGAATTGAGACTTTTCAAAAAAGTTTTATGTATTGGCTCAATAAGGCTACGTTCCCAGTAGTAATATGCAAACAGATGACGGAATCTTTTGGCGGTCTTATCAATTATAACACGTCTTTGAAGTGATTCATTCCAGCTCCCAGCACATGTTAAACGAGCCAAACGATCCATATTAAGCGCTCGTACCATTTTTTTGTACAAATCTGTCTTTGAACGAGACCAACCACTCCTGAAAATTTTTCCAACAAATCATAGAAGGTAATTTTTATTATTTATTTACTTATTTGTGTTTTCAAACATTAACATTCACATTCACAAGCTAACTTTTGTAGTAAAATTGCATTGTTCTCCATTAATTGGATCCCTTACCTATTATACAAAGACAAATTATGTGGTTCTTCTGAAATTTATTGTAATCATTAAAAAATCTCAGAATGAAAAATAAACATTTTGGATGTTGAAGTTTTTTATATCATGACACATTTCATTTACTACAGTAAAAATCATAAATTAATTAATATTTCAATGGAATTTTTTAGAAAAATAATCAAGACATTAAAAATAGAATACTGTCCTTGTAATTGCTGTGAACAGCTGCAGTGTACATGTAGGTGTGGAGCATACTTATCAACATGTGTTTCCCAATCTTCTTTGTCAACTGGCTCATCATGAGGTAAAGAATCAGTGAATTTTTCACACTTTTTCATTGCAAGAGTTATGGAATTTATGTCATATGGTGGTAATGGTACATCAACACTCTCTACATCAATGTTTGTATCATCATTTCTGAAAAATCAACAAATTAAAATTTCCTTATCATTGAATATAAGATTTTCCTTAATATAATTTTATATGCTTCATTCAATGTTAATGGCTATTTATTTATATAAATGTTAAATGTCCTTACACATAATGAATTTTTTTTTAAAATACCTAAAATTAGGTTTAAAATTATTTTGGGCCTATATAACCATTTTTGTTAGAGTTTTGTGTTTCACTGGGCAATAATGTTTCCCACTATGAGATTAATTATGAATTTAACTTCTGTGTTGTTCTAAAATATAGCATTATTAATTAACAAAAAGTTGGCAGACATAGGTAAGATAATGAAGTACATTTCCCAGTGATTCTTAATTTTGCACAATGAACAATGTTTGAACTTCATGTTTGGAATTCTCTTAGTCACACATCTCAGGTTACAAATAGGATTCACTTATCTGTAATATTATAAGAAAACCCAAAGTGCTAAGCCTAAGTAATATACTTATTAAAATTATAAAACACAGGTACCTCCCAAAAAAACATAACATATTGGACTAAAAAAGTATAAATGAACTGGATTATTTATTTTGCCACAAATTTTCATATGATGTGCATTTGAACGAAATCAAAAATATTTTGTCTTTGATCATTTCCTTTCTTAATCTTGCGCAAGCAATTTGAATAGTTCAGAGAAGCACTTTATTCGTAGTTCAGAAGGAAATAACAGTCACATGTAGATCTATTCACACAATTGCAATGAAATTGCTGCCATAAGGAACTAATGACATTCAGAGAAAACTTTTTAAGATCTTCATGTACACTCTGCATATGGAATGAATTCTAATTAATTACAAAGAATTCTTCACAACTAAAGATGAATTACTTGTTATAATCTTCAATAAGAGATGAAAGTAGAAAAATTACAAATGAAACTAAAACAAATCTAGAAATTTAGCAGTTTTTCCCCCCACAAATCAAAGCCTAGAGTGTCTTAAATTCATAATTTCTGGTTCAACTAATGTATCTCAGGAATAATCCAAACATTAGACCTCATCTAGTGGTCCTGTTAAAAGGCTTTTCATTTGCTGCGCTAATAGTCAAGAGAGAAAAAAAAAATTAAAGGTACAAAGTTTGAGAAGCTTGTAGTGTTGATGGGAAACATATCCAATTACATACAATATTGTGTTTAATAAAGTGTCAAGAACTGTTTGTGGAAATCGAGGAAAAGTATCAATGAGTGAGCTGCTGGAGATGTATCTTGGTCTATCTCTTGATATTCATTGATAGTAGCCTAATAAGGCTTTTGGTGGTTCATAGAACCTTTTGAAATTTATTGGTCAAGAGACACAGAACCATTTTTAATTATAAACTATGAAATAATGATTTTGGAACATAGACCCTGATAAAATTCAATGTTTCAAACGAAAATTTGAGAAACACAATCTGACCAAAAGTTGACAAATCCAAGTGAGTGGTCATGATATGAAACTTAATCTATAGCTTATTCTATAGAACTATTAAATGCATATTATTAGACTAATTCTTTTATTTCATTTATTTTTCTTAAAAAGCAATAAAAACTGAGGGACATAACATATATGAGAGAAGTATAATCTGCATATGTTTCCTTGATTACAGAATCCCTTCCCCACCTTTTTAATTTTTCTCCTTAGAGTAAGAAACATCATGTTGAACTGGTTTTCAGAAACATTTGAGTTACTGGTAATTGTACAAATTTAGTAATATTATTTGATTTATACCAATGTTTGCCAAGATTTTTGTCATTAAAATGTTTATCTTATCTAGCTAGCTATAAGAGTTCCATAATTCTGAAAGTTGTTTTTTTTTTATTTTATTTCTTAGAAGTAGTTCTGCATACTCAAAAGATAATGAAGAAGAAGAAAATTCATTGACCAACAGAGTCTTTTTTGGTCTGGCATTCAAGTTTTTCGGGTTCACATTGCTGCGACTTGCATATGAATGTTCCAGTAACATAACATTTACTTCTTGTCCCTGTAGAATGAAAACAACTTGTTAAAACAAACATTAATATACATGGAAAATAGTTTGAAGAGTAGTAGAGAAATTGTTTTGGAGACATTTTTTGAAGTTTCTTTTTCTTTTCATTTTCTCCCACTCCAATTTATTTGGAAAATACGAGATGACTGCTTCCTTGTCGTGTCTTCTTCAAATGTGACACAATTAATATCCTTTACTTTAGTGTACATTTTAAATAACATTGAAATCCCACTTCTGTCTTCTTAAATGCATAAGTTAGTTTCCCGAGTCAGGTCAAACAATAGCCTACATATTGACAGTGACTTAAACAGTCTAGAAACTAAAAAATGAAAAGGAAAATTCAAACGACCCAAAAATCTATAGAAAACTTATTGGTTAATCGAATATCCAAATGAAAATTGAAGTCTGCTGGCCTGGATAGCGGAGGTCACTAACGTTCAGGGGCTGTAACTGTCTCAACTTGAAGGGTCAATGGATTGAATCTTGCGTTGGGCATGGATTTGTGTGTTTTCGTGTTGTTCTTATATGTTCTCCCTACAGTTAAAGCGATCACAGTGGCCACTATATGACCATGCTGTTATAAAGCAACTAAAAAAGTAAACAAAATGCGATAAAAAAAAAGAACTAAGAAAAAGAAGAAAAAAAATGTGTTCTGCTATTGAGATATTCAGCTATTTTACTTCTCAAGTATGTCAATGGAGTGCCATATGATTGTCCCTTCACCTTGCTGAGCGTTCTTCGTGTCTAAAGTTACCACCACACAGTACTTTTTTGGACCTCTTTTCCAACTGTTCCCTCTAATGCCAGGCTTGGCTCAAGGAGTGTCAATGACATGCTGAACTGTTGAGTGAGCCTTGTGGGAGCCATATTTGTTTTCTGAGAGTTCTATTCCTTACTCTACATCTTCCAATCTTAAGCTAATGCATGGCCATCCATTACTTAAGTCCATGGCACTTGATTTGGCAACACTGCGAGCCTACCACGCAGGGTCCTACTCCTGTCACAATGTTCAATGCTGTTGCAATTCTATTAGTGAATTTTCCTAAATATATTGTCCTAAATGATCTAACATTAATGAATTAATAATCAATATTATGAACTTCCAGCTATTACATAAATCTTATATTGCAGAAATTATTGTTTTTGAACAGCATTAGTAGACTTTGAAAATAAGGATGGAAGATTAATAAATGAAAAAGAGGGAAAAATAAAATCAAGAAAGATGTTTATTACAGACTCTATATTTTAAAGTATAACCAAAAATATTCCTTTTCGTCCCTCCCAATTTTTCATCCCTCCCCTTTAAAATGTTAAAGTAATTTATGCACACACTACTATGTTGCATTCATGTCCAGTTCGCTTGAGATATGTTTTTAATTCTCTGAGGCTTTCTTGCCTCTTCATTTGGAAATTTAAAGACTGAAATAATAGCTTTCTTTACTTGATGCACTAAAACTACTCTTCAAGCTATGACGGCTATATATCAAAATTGTTGAAACATTGTGTATTTGAAAATTTAATTAAAAATGAGAATGTGAAAATTTCATTTCATTTTTTTTTATATAAGCCAACAAAAAGGGAGTCAATAAGAGATAAACAATTATTCCCGAAGTTGGCAAGAAGAAGAAATGAAATCCAATCATAATTGTCTGTGGTCAAAATTAGCTCCTAAACCCTTCTGCTGGTTTTCACCAAAACTGAATTATTAATTGATTTGAAGATTCGCATTGCCCTCTGAGTTTGAAACTGATATTTTGATATTTGGGAGTAATATGAAGCCCAAACATTTTAAAAGTATTCACAAAAATGGCTCCAATTCTTTATGAAACGTCTCACATTACTTGCACATACATTCTCGCATTATTTCTAGCTTTTTAAATTTTCAAAAATTCAGAGAGTTCAATGAAAATGAGACCTGCCCCATTCTTTTGAGAATAAGATTTATTAAGAGTCATGTTTGAAAAATATTTAACAGGTGTAGATGTATTACACAAAGAAAAATATATAATAATAATTATTACTAAATTATCAACAGATCTCAGATTTTTTGTTTTTTATTACTGATTCATATTTAACAGATATTTGTTCTCAAGATTTTCAGAGTTAAAAAATTATTAAGAAACTAATTTCTCTTTATTGAATTTCTTTTAGTTATTCAAAAATGAAGTAAAATGGTCCTCCATAATTGCCAAAAGCAAGTAGTAATTAATGCTAATATATTGTTGCAATAAATATAAATGAACTTTGAAGTACATACTTGTAGCAAAATTAATCTGTTAACAAAATAAGTTGTGTTCATTTGGTAGGACTATTTCTCCCGATTAACTATGAATTTAAAAATAAATTTAAAAACTTACAGTGTTCCTTGTAAAATGTTGAAGAAAATTATTGAGTTGCTTTTCTGGGCAGTCACTGATAGTACCAATAGAGCTAGTCATCTGAGGTAAATCTTTTGAAGAAATGTTATTGTTCCCCTATAAATTAAAAATCAAAATGTAATTAATTTTATAAAAACAATATTATTATAAATAAATTATGAAAAGAAATAATATAAAAATGATATTGGCATAAATCATGTCATGTATCAAAAAACTGTACTGAAAAATTAAGGCCTTCAACAAAAAACAGGTTTCTGGCATAAATCCACAGTAGAAATAATTTATGTTGATATTAATACAGAAAACTCAATATTGTAATCAAGGGACTCTCAAGATTAGCCATTTAGAGTGAATGCACTTGCTTGTCATTAGAAGACAAGTAACTTTGTGAAACAAAGTTTTTATTGCCATATTTTGTTTTGAATTTCACCTAGTTGGTGATTGTTCTCAGATCTCTCAATTGTACAAGGTAGTATTGTGTCTTTCTTACAATACTCCATTTACAGCTAAACATTTTAGTAGCTTGTAAAGAAATTACCTTTTCCAAATTAATGTTTTGCAATTAGAAATAAGTTTTTTCTTTATATCATAAGTAGAAATTTTCCACATTTCATTTCAGAAAATTATCAAGATTACATTCATAAATAAATAAATGCTTCTAGCCAAATAAAGCATGAAGGCCTACATAAGGAGAAAAAAAATTGTTTAAAATTGAATGACTTTGTATGTACAAAATGTTAAAATAACAAAGCTGTGTGTAAACTAATGTGGGAATGAAATTTTATTTGGAAGCTATTTGCTTAAATAATCCATTTCATAGCAAATAACAGAAGTGTCCATCAGACACGTTTTTAAATTGATTTGTGTTCAGAATCAGAAGTATTTATTTCTTTTTTAAATCATTCTACAGTAAGCCGATTATTTGAATCTCTTGGAATTTGATTAATAAGAGTTTACTGTATTTATTCTATCATAATAATTTTATTATTGAGATCTTCGAGTTTCGTTTTCAATGATATACGGTAGGGATTTTTTTATAAATGTGACATTAGAACAGACGTAAATAACAGACTGGTGTGTTAGGCACACAAAGCGCATTCCTAAAAGTTTGCATTGGAGCCGGACAAAAAGCTGTTGTCGATCGTTTTCGCTTGGAGCGTGCGAGCGCTTCTTGCCTGTCCATTAAACTATACATATGGCTCAGACAAACCTGATAATGGCGATCGAAGGGAAAAAATCCCGGAGTTTGAAAACTTGGCATGATTGTTTGCTGGTACCTACTGCAAAACGTACTAAAAATCCTGAAGTGTGGGGGCTGAGCCGGTGACAGGGGCGGTCGTTTGAAAGTGCTTTTTCGACGTTTTTTGCATATATTTCCATACCTATCAATACCGAAAATTATGCACTATACACAATAAAAATAGATAAAATTTCCTACACAAAATTTCAATAAGGTTTTGTTGTAAAATTAAACATTTGAGTATAATAGACTTGAAAATTTCTTGCTTTTCTTTACGATAAGGCCCTGGTTATCTCTAATAAATATTAGATTATAGTAAGTTAAATGAAGTAATTCTATTTTTATTCAACATTTATCAACAGTATGTATTTGCATATTTTACGCAAAAATCAGGAACATTCTACAAATGTTATTTTGTTCATAGACGCGATTATCCGTGGTCACTGGGGTCCGAGATTACCTCGGGTACCAAAACCGATAATCAATAGTTTATTTCATGAGGATCCATTACAAATATTTGGCAAAGAATTGTGTATATTGTCAACATACAAATTACACAAAACAAAACGAGTTCGGTTCCAATCCGCCGTATTGCCATAATTTATTATTGATTGTTCCTAATCTCGGAATACTTATAAACTCTCAGAATCATCGTTCTACTCTTAAGCTTTCATGGATTTGATCATTTTGGTACTTCGATGTCCGTAATATGTTACTACAATATACATTTAGTTTTTATTTAACTTTAGAAATAAAGGGAAAATATAAAAGTTCTCAGAATTGCTTCATAAAAATTTCCCTCTAATCAAAATCAGTATTATACTAGCATTATTATATTACTCAGTATTAAAATTCGATTTGTTGATTGATTGATTGATTTCGACATATTTCCGGGCGCAGCAACAACGGGTGCTTACATTTTTTCTCTCGCGAGGTAACTCTGTTCTTCCCCTCCCTGTAGGCCTACGGTTTTCCCCAACAAGATATTTCTCACCAGTTGAAACGATCCCTAAGCTCCCGACTGATCTCCTGTCATATGTAAAAGAGTAGTGCATATCGGTGTGTGTAAGGGATGAGTAAGAATGACAAGAAAGATTTGTTAGGGCATCCCTCGGCTTTTACCTGGTATTGACCGATATTTTGTTCCTAAAATTCCCAGGTCTACCTTTTAGATAAAAGATTAACATGGAAACCCATTTACTCAATCTATCAAATAAAGCTTATGCCAAAATGAGTAAACTTTACCCCCTAATCTACTATAAGTCACACCTCAGTGTCAACAATAGTTTAAGTTAGGGATTTTTCTTGACTTGAAAGGCACTAGGAAAGAAAAAGAACGCCAGGGAAATAGAATTTTTCGGACGGGGAAAAAATTTGGTCAATGAGCTTTCACTGGACTGGGGCGACATACTGTTCACTTGAGCTCCCGGACCCACGATTTAAAAGTACATAATTAAATATTGTATGCTGGATTGAAATTAATTTGTTTTTAGCAATATATATTTTGAGATCGTTGAGATATTCGTAATAGTTTACTTTGAATCCATTTAGCTCCACGGTTACTTACATTACGAGTCTCTTTGACTAGAACTACTAGTACTATAACGTAAGATCATATTTCAACTACGTCGTCTTTAATTTTTAAGTCACTTCTACGAGACCTGCAGAATTACGTTAGTCATCAAGTAGTTCATTAAGCTAAGAAGTGTAAAATGTATACACTAATTGAATTGGCGAAGGCTTCATCTACCATACCTCTTAATGCATAATTAAATGCATAAGTCATGTTTACAAGAAAATTGTGTTAAATTAACTACGAGAACAATTCTAAATAGTGACATATCTAGAAATACAAATTCCTTAAGTCAGTTTGATTTTTATTGGAACAATCCACTTCGTCGTTAAATTATCATGATCAGATTTTCAGAACATTTTTAATTTAGCCAAAAGTATCGAATTTCAACAAGTGACATATCACAAGAAATATCAGAAACCTAGCAACTATTTACCATGGATCTTGCGTTGCAGGCTAAAAATCTCTCGAACAAAAAATTTCTATAGAAAGCACGGGATGTCAAGGGTTCCCGCCAGCTTCAAAACAATTGTTGCGAACACTGCACTCGATGGTAGCTTCGTCCGTCGTGAGCCGTAGGGCTTTGCGATGCGGTGGGGGGTTGCTAGTTACTGCTAACGCCAGTCCATCGCGCTGCTGTTGCGTTGTGGAGCTAAAAACCAGCGCCCTCCGCGGTGGAACGGAGAACTCTTCATCCGGAGTCGAGATAGAACTACATGAGAAAAACGAAGACAGTATACGGCTTCAAGCAGATTGGAGGGCGATGATTGATTGATTTGAATTATCAGAATTTAAAGGGACAGGCAATGGAACAGATTTTGTCGTTTGTTCATAATTCGGAGACTATTTTTCGATTTAAAGTTGGGGAAATTATGTTTCATTGGAGAGGTTATGTGGAAAAATTCCGCAGTAGTAGCAGTAGCGGTAGCGGTAGCGGTAGCAGTAGCAGTAGCAGTAGCAGTTGCGGTGGTAGTAGTAGTAGTAGTAGTAGTAGTAGTAGTAGTAGTAGTAGTAGTAGTAGTAGTAGTAGTAGTAGGAAAAGAGCTCACAACACATCCGGTAACCCTTCATACATAGAGTGGCTGAAGCGTCTCTTTGCAGCACTTTGAAGCCATTTTTTTTTGCCGTCAAAGCAGTGCCCTCTCAAGAAGTAGAGTATTCAAGTATTCCGTTCAGCGCTGGTTAAGGCCGGGTAGGCGCGGGCTGCGCGTAATATAGATCCTCTTACTCTGTGTTTCACAACCTTAAAGCCAATCATTTAAAAACGAAATCACAATATGTAAGGAGGACTAATTGAGAAACTTTAAAAACATTGCTTCCTGCATCGGTTATTGTCATTAGAATGGAAGCTGTTAAAATGTTGTTGTAGATAGCGTAACGCCTGAAATTTAATGTTATTGCAATAAGAAGCAAACAAACTGAACATACTGAAGGCTTTGTGAATATTATTATTCTAACCACAACCTCTAATATAATTTTAAAAAATGGTAAACGAAAAGACAACAATGTAAAAATAAGATGATACAAACAACACGTCGATTCAGTACAACAGTTAAACACACCGCCATCATGTTGCAAATAACATGGCGGCCCCTAGTTCGGCGAGCGTTCACCAAGAACGCTGAAACCTCATCCACTCTATATATTATTTTCTAGCTCGTTGGAGGCAAAACCTACTATTATCAACATTACCAACTAGTGCAAATCTCATACCACAAGGCTTATATCGCTATCTAATAAAATGGCGACTATCGTAGGCCGAGCCTTCAGAGCATGCTGGATAAACGTGGTAATGTTTACACGGCTCTTTGGCTTGCGACTTTTGCAGTGTATACGTAGCTTTACGTTGTCTACGAGTGTTAGTAACGATTAAGTCAAATTACTTCCTCGTTGAAATAAGTAAAAATTAATAGTGTGTAGTAGTGTGAGACCAAGAACAAGCTTATCTACTGGGTCGTTCGTGTTGTGTCCCGGGATGCTAATAGAACTATGATAAAATATCGGATACAACTACTTTTAAAGTTCCTAAAGATAAAGATTTAAGGGAAAATGGTTGACATTAATTCACAGAGATAATTTTGAAATAAACAATAATTCGGCAGTGTGGGACAAACATTTTAAATTGGTAGACTATTTCAAATGTATAAAATCCTATGAAAGGAATTTTCACAAAAAATGATGATGATAATTTAATCTATGGACCTAATGATACCATTTTTTTTTTTCGAAATTTGAAGACATCCATTGACTTCTGGCATGCATCAGAATGCAAAGGAAAGTTAACAAATTAAACTTGCATCGCTTTCACGCATTTTTTCTGCAGTTGTTCAGTTATGTAAATATATTTTCGAGAAATACAGCTGGTCATTTATTCTTACTGTCAAATTACAAACAGACCATGGTAAACTAACCATGGTGAATTTGCATGCCATTTGAATGCCAGACACGTAAAGCATTTTTGAAGGCCCATACTTTGTAGAAGCAAAAGGCAAAGCATGCTGACACAAGGAAAGTGGCATTTGCTTCAACAATAAATAAGAAAATAATTTTCACTCTGAGGAAAATATGTTTCAATATTTTCTCAGCGCCAACTTCAAACAAAAAATATTTTCGAAAAAAAAGAAGAAAGAAGTACTGCCTCTTAGAACCCTGGAACAGAGTGGAAAACAATTTCGATTTTTCTCAAAAATTGATGTAATTTTTTATTAAAATTTATTCGACTGCTGGACTATAGTTACAAAAATCAAAACCATTTTCCCGCCTTTAAATCATCTTGACTTTAAATATACTTTGACTTTAAGATGACATTAAATACTACTTTGGAAATGACTGCAACAGTTCTTTGCATTTATTTTAATGTTTATTACACATTTACGTACATTCCTGTAACACTCAGTAATATTTTGTCTTTGAAATGTAGTCACAAATTATCATGTTTTTAAAGATTTCTCATCCTTTGTATATCATGCGCTGAGGAAAGATGACAATTTTTGGCAGTTTATAAGAAACCATCCATACACGAAACCTCCAAACTGAGGGATAGAGAATTACCCATCAGTCCTACATCGCGCAATTTTCAGGAGAAAAAAATAAGCGTTTGCAGATTATGACATACAAAAAGAAAAAAAAAAGATTAGAACACACTTATAATCGCGATAAACCCGGAAGCGATTGCAAAGACCTATTTCAGTGTGTTCTTTTGTGCATTGCTATGTATCGACGTATTTTTACTTTTTATTTTTAACCGTACGCTAATTGTAACTCAAACAATATTTTAAAATAGTGGCCTCTTTTAAAAAAAATTTACGTTATGTTAACTAACAAAAATTTAGAATTTAATCATTAATTTTCAGCAGGAAGGTTATCTCCAAATGATGGCAAAATGGAGGAAATTGAGAGCAGTGTCTCATATCATTATTGATCTCAAAATGAAATATAGATAACTCCAAGAATGGTAATATTCTTGAGCTCATATTTGGGACAATTTCCCCTCATTATGAAGCTGCATAAAAGATACCAATGAACACACCCCTTTTATGATGTTTTTCGGTTAATCATGACATTATTATGTCTTGTTAAAAAGAACGAAAGGAATTAATTTTTCTTATACGATTTCATAAACGATAAATAATGTTCGTTGATTTGAAATTAGAAATATAAAATGTACTGTTGTCGGAAATTAGAGCAGAAAGTAATCATGATTTTTTTTAGAATATGATTGTGATAGACCCGTCTTAATTAAACTAAGTAATAAAAAAAAATAATTCATTGTCATCAAGCAAAAGAGATTCAATAATATAATTTTGTATTTTTGCGGCGATTATATCGTAGCAAATCAAATTACAATACTGATATCCGAATCAAATGTATATGTCTAATTTGTTTCAGGTTCATACTTCACTTTGTCGTACATCGACTACAAACTATTACAAAAGTAAAAGGTAATGATACTTGAACTGTGTGTAATAGTCTGTCATTCTCCCAATTGCTTTTTCAATTGACGGTTCGAGTTGTACATTCTCATTGGTCCCACACCTAGAATGAGTACCCCACCTACCTACCCGGCTACTCGGCTGTTTTTTTCTGAAGTTGCTGGCGCGTGGCTGAAATGTTACAACCCTGTGTAAATGTATATTCAAAGTACATTCAATGAACTGCAGTGCGCGTACCCCGCACTTGCACTTTACTAGGGGAATTCATCCCGAGGAGGGCACCAGGGCGCTAGATTCTACCCTCACTCCTCGCAGGCATCCAAGGCCGCCCTTGGGCTGGTATCTGAACCCCACCAAAACGCACTTTTCCACCTCGATAACCTCCTCAAACAATGCCTGGGTCGGGCCACCCTGCCAGCTCAGAGCTCCTAGCTTTCCAGGCTAGTACCGGAGTCAAAACCATCCGCCACTCACGTACACCGTGGCGAATCCCTCCTCTACGCCCAGAGGTTTGGGCCACAGCCACGACGAGTCCAAGAGCCCAGCAGGGGACCACCCGAATTATGGTTCGAGCGGCTTGAGGGCCCCCTTCCCATCTCCTCACTTTGAGGCTATTGACGTGAGTACAGCCAGAACCTTCGTAACCCGGAAGATGGTATCAAGTTGCCGCGGGAGCTCTTTGATTCCAAATCATTCCGAGGAATGTCCTTCAGCCGATCCCGCCCAAAGTCGACTCACCATTGGCCGGACTGGTGGGCTACTGGACAAGCCCGGTAACCAGCTTCGCATCACCTATTCACTGCCTCCATCTTGAAGCTATCGACGTGAATGTCGCCGTAAAATTCAAAGCCCGGGTGGTCGTCTACAACTCTCCATCAGAAATCGCGCCCAATGTTCATGAAATGAATGCGAATTGTTTCTACGTGTTCCTCACCAACCACGTTCCCAATTTGATTGGCGGCGCTGCCCACAAATCACTATGACCGAACCGACCATTTCGCATGCATTCCATACCCAATAGGAAGGATTAGGAGAGCAACTGTTTTTTTAAGATGAAGTTTTCGTAAAGACGGCGCGGGAGGCCTAATTGAGACATTAACGGCCTGCAAAATATAAGTTAACAAGATAATTTTTTCTCGTGATGTACAGATTGTATCAGTTTCTGGAAAGGAATTTTATTGCAGGTGTAGTAAGAGAAATCGCAAGAACACTGGAAGATAATATAGTACATTTTCAACATATTACGTAATTTTCAAATTGTAATAAATGAAAAGAAAGGATATTGTTGCAAATGTGGGATTTTCGATTGTTCAATTTGAAGGGCGGCGCCATTCAAATCACAAGCATCTCTGAAACCTACACGCACTGGTTCACTGACACCATCAGAGCCACTTTAGTGACCACTGTGATACTGAATACCACTGTCATAGTGAATTTCATATGAGCGGTTCCGAGACGTGACCGTCTGAAACAGTTGCCTTCAAATCTCATGAAAGACGCACATCAAGCATTAGAGGAAGAGGGAGGAGAGGTTGAGGTATGCATCAATAGACGTATGGGTATTCCTCGTAATTGATAAAAATGCAATTTTATTAGAGACATTCATTCTAAATATTTCTACAATGGTATATTCTTAACATTACATATCAAAATATGTATTACACGTTACCTACTATACTGCTATATAGAAAATATATTGTTTTCCTCCTTTAACCTCCTATTGTTCAACTCATTTTTCAATCCTCTTATATCAAATCTATATCACTGTAGCATAACAATGTTGTGCATTACCTGTACAATAGACTATACAAATTAATACATAAATCTATTTCTCCGTGTCTGTACATTTCTACATTTTGTTACCTTTAGTCAATATTTTTCATGTAGCCGTGCAATAGACAATAATACAGTTAATAGTACATTTAATAACAAAACTGTTACAATTTTCATTAATTATTTGAAACAACTGCTGCAATAATGATAAGATAAAAATACCAACCAAAATTTAGTTTTTAATTTATTAATATACTTTTCATACTTTGACCACAATATCTGGATAACTGTATGTCTAATTATGTACATCTATCGAAAACAAATTTATTTTTCTTTACACGGATGCATTTGATATAAGAAATGTATTTAATATCAAAACAGACTTCAACCTATCTCTTAATGATAAATAAGTGCATGCATTACCATTATGGCACCATTCAAACTTTATTACGTTGGTTATGAGATAGATATGCAAACTATTACCCCAGTAGACAATCACCTCTTACAAATAATAAATAATAAGTAAATAATAATAAATAAATAATAAATAATAATAAATAAATAATAATAAATAAATAATAATAATAAATAAATAATAATAATAAATAAATAATAATAATAAATAAATAATAATAAATAATTAATAATAATAATAATATCCCTTAACCATTTTTGAATTACAAATTTTTGTGCAACAAATATGATTTCAATTTTGGGGGGGGGGGTAAAATTTAATGGGGTGGCCCTTAAACATGACTACCATCACATAGAAATCAGTAACCTCTATCGTGGCTTCGCATAGGAGTCTCATTACCCGGGGAATTTGATAAGTAATGAAGTAGGAAAACGTTTTATAAATGTATTCAGTTGTTGATAATACATTAGACACGTAATTGTAAATTAAGCAAATAGTGAAGTTTACTAAATATTGCAGAAAATTGTTCGTAGACGGCAACATAGAAATAATCCCACTAAATGCCCATGCTTGGAATAAAAAATTAAGAAGATATTTTAGGAAACGACTTAAATAGCAATAATAATGACCATTATAATATGTAAAATTAAAGATTTAGGTTAATTAGGTACAACAAACCAACATTTGAAAAAACTTTTTGGGAATGCAGTTTTGGAAAGCATCCAAGATGGCAATTTTTGCATTTCCTCTTAGAGATTCGAAAGAGAAATCATAACACAGGCTGGTACCAATTAATACTATCGCCCTCGGATCCTGCTACCAACAAACAGTGACGAGGTGAAAAACGGGTAGAATACACGAAAGTATCACAATTGAAAGTAGCGATTTCATGCAGGGGAATGGGCTCTCCACCTGGCCAAGACATGAACTGTTCTGAACAGCGAGGTGAAAAAATATGTAATTTAATATCATTGCCTGAAGGGTAACAAATTAATCTCCCATCGGGAGAAAAGCTTAATTCCTTAAATATACATATATCACTTATGCTAGCGTGTTTTTGAAAATAATGGGTTAACCTGGGAATGTATTCGTGGCCTTTCTCGTTCGAATGCATCTCCCTTGAGGCATGAGGCGACGAATCGCTCCCCGACCCCTCAGGCGAAGCATCTCCGCAAGCGGGCAACTCCTTGTCCCGGATGTCGTGCACGCACACCCATTCCATCTTCTTCTCGATGCTCATGCACAGGCTGAGCGCGCTGCAGCCCTGGGGGTGGATCTCCAGCGCAGACACGTTGTGGAACACGTCTAGATGCGGGAAGTCCAACACCGCCTCCGCACGGTTCCTTTTGCGGCTTCGGGAAAACACGTTCTCTCTCGGAAGCGAAGCTGACGGTGGGAACTCCTCCAAGTCCCACACAGGCCCTATGCCCGGATAAAAGCCAGCGAGGTCTGCAGCAACGGTGTTTAAATCCAAATCGTGCACAATAATAAGATACCCTCCCGTTGACGAAATTATCATTTTTGATGCGTCTGGATTCAGCCGGATACCCCAGAAATCGTCGGATCCAAATTTAGAGTACGTAGTCACGCCTTCTGTTGTATTCTTTAGATTCCAGACGAGAACCGTCCCATCATCTCCAGTTGTTACAAGTACGTCATTTTTGGAAGAAAATTCAATATTTCTCACCGAGGAGGAATGTCCAACCAATCTTCGAGCCCATTTTTTCAAATTCCGAGTGTCCCACAAGGTTACTGATCGATCTTCACTGCCTGAGGCGAAGGTCCAGTTATCAAGAAACTTGATAGTAAAAAGGCATCCCATCTGAGGAGTGATCAACGCTCCAATCTGCTTCCGACGGAGAGTATCATATATCAGAATACTGTTTTTAATAGACCCTGCCACTAGAAGAGAAGCGTCAGGGGAAAAGTCTAAACTAATAACAGCACCAAGATTACTATTATATGAATTGTCTATTTCGCGAATGGAAGAATATAGTCTCTTGCAAAAGGTATCTGAATGCCCCAGAGGCAATCGTTGGTTTATTTCTCTTTGCAAAACCCACGCAGGGTGTCCAAAACTTGCTGTAAACTTTGACATTATGCCAAACTGAAATATATTCCCGAAGACATTTGTTCACTTACAAGAAACTTTTCATCACAACACAACGCGAAAGCAATTCTGAAAAGTCCGATTGGCATTTTACGTTAAACAAATTCTCTTCTCCAGTCTTTCTTTCAGTGCACGAAATTTACTTTATGCACACCTCGTATAATACCATCTATACAATTTGCACTCAGGGCTTGCATTTGGAGACAGGAGAGTTTGTTGGCTCCACGATGCCAACTGAGGCCCTATTGCTCATGAAGGGTGGGGCAACCACGCACTGAAATATGAAAAGAAAATAAATTAACATTGAAGCATCTTAAAAAGTAAAAACGTGCCCCAAACTACTCAGCAAATTGTACCGGAGCAAAACCAGAATGAGCAATATTCTACTTATTCGTTGTCATGGAAATAATGTTTTCTTTACCCTTTGATACACCACCATCGGAATCTACGAGAATCCACTACATGACTCTCTTGTGTTCACGGTATAGCCTATAGTATATTTCAAAAAACTAAAGCATTTACCTTCCGTGATTTTACAGTTAACGGCTGTTTTTGTCAATTATGTAATTTTAAGGTAATTAAACCTTTTAAAACAGTTTTAATATTTTAACAAAATATTTTAAAGAATGGTTACAAATAAATAAATACTCTTGTACTTATTTTTATTTTCGTGACCCTATTCAGAACTCAATCCTATACCTGCGTTGTATTAGGGTGCGAAAATACTATTTTTTTACGTTCTAACTAATAGCACGCGATACATTACGAAGCATACGTGAAACATCGAGAAGCACATGCGAAAAATCTTTCTCACTCATCATGTTAAAAAATAATATACGCACCTCGTGCGCAAATGTTTTATGTAGCTTACAACTTTAAAACGTTGGCAACGCAGCACTATCTCCCTCCCTCCCCAGTCTCTCAGTCTCTCTCTCTCTCTCCCCCCAGTCTCTCTTGTGCGTGTCAATTTATAATGACACTTTTTTTAAATATTTTATTTTAAAAATAATTTTTATGTTAATTTTTTATTTATTTTACTATTATTCAAATTTTATTTATACTTTTTTAAATGTTTTTAGTGTCATATTACTATAGTTATTTTTATTTTTACAGGGAACAGTTACGAAAAAATAAATAAAAGTATGATATATAAGGTCATTCAGATTTGGGTACGGGAGAATGTTGAAACCCTATAACACTATTAGTGTTAAAATATTTTTTTACATCTTATTTATTTATTTATTTATTTATTTATTTATTTATTTATTTATTTATTTATTTATTTATTTATTTATATATTGTAAGCATTTTAAATACAGCCATACTATGGAGACAGGTATTCTGTGCTAGTTTTAATAAAATCTGGAATCCCCACGTATCCATACATAAGATATAAGATCCATATGCAAGATGAATTGCGAAAGCAGGTGGCGGCGGCGACTGTTTCGATTAAAAAATTTCCGTAAAATAGACTTTAATCAATTTTCTCAGATTTAACTCAAATCTTATTCTCGAATTCATATACTATTTTATCGATTATTGTATTAAATACAATATCTTTACTAAACAGTGGAGTTTTGTGCATCATTCATTAATTTCAATAGAATAAATTTAGTGTTGTTACGGTAAATAATCGACAATAGATGTAGGAATATTCATATTTGTGTACTTCCTGACGAGATTTGGATTAGAGAGTTGCAAAATGAGTTATCGAGGATCAGTAAAAGGGATCTGATATGAAAAAGCTTTCTGTGACGTTATTTAACATGTCCCAAATTAGATTATATTAATACCAACAAAGTTAAACATAATTCATATTTTTTTTAATTTCCTCATAACTTGAAAGCATATTTTCTGACGACAACAAATAATTGTGTATCAAAAACGTGGGATAAGTACGTCAGGATAAGGGCATCAGGGAAATAAAATGAAAGTTTATGGAAAGAGTAAAATTTATTCATGTCTATATTCATTAAAATTATTTCTATGTATTTATATTTAGAACATGACGCGCCAAGATAATAAATAATACCAAGAAAAATCATAAATAATGACCAAATGTCTAAAGACATACCAGAATATAATTTGAGTTTATTTCTTCATCTTTTTGGCAACGTACCTGGATTTATATGAATGATAATGTTCATGTATCGAACACAATTTATCTGTCTTTATAAAACGGAAGACGGTGTAATAGGTACATGTATGATACCCCCCCCCACATATGATGTGCATTTTATACTATTTTATACATCATTTTCACATAACTTCACAGTGCACTATAAGAAAAAGTAATAATCACAGATACATTTTACTATCTAAGAATTACAAAAAATATATGCATGATAGTATAATATAAAAGCATAACAAATCAAATCTTGGTTAGGAATAGATTTGCAAACAGTGCAATCAATGTGCACCGCGCATTACGTGTTATGACTAGATAATAGATCCTTTTTATCACTTCATTGAGTCTCAAGTATGTTAATAAAATATATTTTTTTGAATCCTTTTTAAAGTGAAATGTTAATGGCTGTTGAACAGTATTGTAATCACCTAATAATAAAAAAGAAGTTACATATGTCGATTCTTTTCATTAGCAGTTGTTACCAGAGGCATCAAAGAAAAAATTCCGAATCCATTTTTATAAATATTTGTGGAATTGGGATGTTGATAACAGACAATACACGTCAATGGAAATTAAAACCAATGTAAAGCAACAAGGAATCAATCCTACTAGATGTACTTTGATAAAAGCAGAAAATATAATTCTATTACTACTGTAATGGATGACAGCATGGTGTACTAAAGCTTAATTACATACATCAACATATACAAAACAACTTTTTGGAATTCAAGTTATTTTAGAATACAGCCAAGAAGTTAATTTTCCCATTTCTTCTCAGAGCCCAAATGTAAAATCACAGCACAGGTTGGTACCAATTAATCCTTCCGTCCACGCAACCTGATACGAACAGACAGTGAAGAGGTGAAAACCTGGCAGAATACACAATAGCATTACAATTGAACGTAGCGATTTCGTGCAGAGGTCTCGGTTCTCCACCGGACCAAGAAAAAAACTGTTCATCACAGAGAGGTGAAAAGGCATGCAATTTAATACAGTTGCCCGAGGGGTGGCAAATTATTCTCCCATCCGGAGATAAGCTGAACTCTTTAAATAAACGTATATAATTTATGTCGATTCGTTTTTCAGCAAAATGCGTTAACCTCGGAAGGGGAGTATCGACGTGTTCCTTTGAAGGCTTCCTCCGTGCAGCGGACGATGACCCTTTGGGCAACGCAGCTGCTCTGTCCTGCACGTCGTGCACGCACACCCACTCCTTCTCCTCGCTCCAGCTCAGGCTCAACGCACTGCGGCCCTGCGGGTGGACCTCCAGCGCTGTCACCATGCTGGAGCGCTCTGCGTGCGGGAAGTCCACCACAGGCTCCAGGCGGTTCCTTTTGCGACTTCGCGAGCACACGGGCGCTGCCGGCAGCGACGGCGACTGGCCAAAGTCCCAAAATGGAGCAAAATGGCCGGCGAGATCTTCAGAAATGGTGTTTAAATCCACGTCGTGGACAATAATGAGGTACCCTTTCGTTGAAGAGATTATCATTTTTGATGCGTCTGGATGGAGACGTATGCGACAGAAGTCAAGGGCGCCGAATTCTTTGGCGCAAATTATTCCCGTTTCATTCTTTAGATTCCAAATTAGAGACGTCCCGTCGACTGCAGTGCTCACGAGAATGTCATTTTTTGATGAATACTCTATATTTTTTACAGACCACAAGTGCCCAAACAAACTTCTAACTCTCCGTTTCAAATTCCGAACGTCCCATAACGCCACTGTACAATCTTCACTGCCTGAGGCGAAGGTCCAGGAATCCAGAAACTTCACATTAAAGACGCATCCCATGTGAGGATTGTTTAGAGACCCGATTTTCTTCCGAAGGAGAGGATCGAACACGAGAATGCAGCTTCTTCGACAACCCGCCACTAATAGAGATCCGTCAGGAGAAAAGTTCAAGCTATAAACTGTTCCAGGAACTCCATTACTTGAATAATTTCCCTCTTCCCAGTAATTGCATGGTAAGATTGAGGAATACAGTCCTTTGTAAAACGTGTCTGAATGTCCGATGGACAATCGTTGTCTTAATTCTCTCTGCCGAATCCACACAGGGTGACCAAAATTTGCTGCACGTTCTGACATTACGCTAAACTAAACTGTGTTCCCAAATACTTTTTTCCACTTCTTGTCGATTTATTTTTAAGTTAACGTGGAAACAACTGCGACAATACCTATTTTATACACAGAATTGTACACTCAACAAATTGACAATTTTCCCCCGTAATAGTAGGTTTCTCCGTAAGTGCATATAGGACACATATCTAAAATTATTGTGTAGAGATTCTTGCCTTGCAGAGCCGTCTTACGGTCTACGTTTGTGACAAGCCGAGTGAAGCGTTTTCGGTAGACACCTGATCTGCGTCAAGGGCGGTGTGCGTGCTCACAAGTGGACATCCAGCCAGCGAAGGGTGCGGCAGCCACGGACACTGAAAGAGGAGCGTGGTATTAATCAAACTGAAGCATTTTCATTCAATCTAGTGATGCTACAGAATGGCATAGACTCTCGTACTAGTTAGTTTTCTAATTTCTTTAGTCTGGCCTTTCGCTTTTCGGTCTTGCCACATACTCTTGCCAGCTGCCATCTATCACCGCCCAAACCACAGATTTTTAAAACATTTTCTCAATTTTCTGATGTCCTAAAGGTAGAACCGATATGTTACTTTAGGAATATTAAAGAAGATTAAAACCTCGACATACATGGCAATTTTCCTTGAAAGATTTGGAGGCGTGTCTAAGAAAATGGTGTTCAAGCGTTACTGTAAATGCGAAATTTAAAGCTATCTTCCATAGAACTTTTTCTTTATTTTAGAAAAACTTATTTTGAAATCATTTGAAGCACTATCACTCAAAATTGCAATAATGTATACATATTGCGGGAAATTTGTGCAATAAACGCGTGATAGATATTTAAAAATAAATACATTAGTCTATTTTTTCAAACAAAAAATACCCAAAAATGAACTTTACGTCGTATTAAAAACTGCAATTAGCATAATCCGTTCGAGAAGTTTGAAGAAAAAAGTGAGCCATTTGTTTTTGAAGAAATGATGCCTGAGCGTTTCTGACATTGCGAAAGTTTGAAGGCATTTTCCCAGACAACTGTTGAGTTTTCTCGAAACTTTGTATAACATTATTTAAAGCACATGTACCCACAAATACAATAATGTGAATAAATCGTCGTTAATGAAAATCTTAAGGACTCGAGAGACATGAAACTTTTTTCATTTTTGGAAAAACAAAAGAATGAAAAAATATGACGTTCATGTCATCTTATAGAGCACATTTAGCACTATCCCAACCAAAAGTTTTCTTTAAACGTTTGTTTTTGTTCTTTTTTTTAAATTGCATATGTTGCTCGCAATAGTGCGCGAAAACTACTAAAATTTCCAAACGAATGTACATGACCTTCTTAAACGAACTAACTATAGAAAACAACTTTAATTTGGAAGAAAAATGTATCTTCAATTTCGTAGATGTAGTGCAGGAACACACCGATAAAATTCAAAATTTTGCAATGTTCTAAAATTCTGATTTAACAGGGAAAATCAAACCTATGCCATCTTTATTGGTGTATTTTACTGTATTAGTTTAAAAAATTAAGGGAAAAAAATTGGAGCCATTTTTGAGAAAATTTTGAATATATCCGGGGAGCACCATGTAAAGTATAGCCAAATTATAAGAGTTTTACACCTCGACCGGACAATATCCATTTTGGAAACGTATGGTTTAGGCGCTAGTGGTGTTTTCGGACGGACGGACATTTTAAAAAACGCTTTCGGTATCAGGGACCCCAAAACCTATTTCCGTTGAAATCTTGAAACAGATTTTCCGCAGCATTATGTACTTGCATTTTTCAGAGCATTTCTCTGTACTACGTACGTTTGTATATAACTCCATACACACGTTCATATACGAGAACGTAGAAAGCTTTCACGAATGCATACTTCTAAAACAAAAAATTTCAATCAGATGAGATCTTATGGTACTGATACTGAGAAACAAATACTGCGTTCCAAATGTCTGATATGGTAGGAAGCAGTGGCGGCCCTCGCGGGCAAATAATAAAGAAGCTGAGACTCGAGGAGCGGGAGAAAAAGGTGCCTACCCTACTCAGCCCACGAAGTAAAGCCTAACTGCGGATCCGTTTGGGTGGAGAAGCCCAGGGAGGTGGTTTTAGCGAGTAAGAATCTCGCATTACCATACTGTACAGGACATTTGATGACGTTTAAAGATTTTCACTCTCCCTGGTAATAAAAGTTTGATATGGAAATAAAGAAGGAGAATACTTCCGCTTCCCATAGCGTATGTACTCAAGTTCAATTTGGACAACGAGTCCTGGAACAATACCTTTCTCATTCCATTACCACCCGATCATCCCCATCGGCTTCGGTGGCTCAGGGAATTAATTGTTTCCACTACAATGCCTTTCATCGGGAGGTCCTATTACCCCTTCACTACACAAAAAATCCTGACGTAAACAAATGCACATGTGTTAGGATGATTCGCATTGGTTTGTAGTGAGAGTATTGCTGTTGTAGGGGTTCTGACGCTAAAGAAAGTAAATCTCCGTGTAAGAAACAATTTATCTGACATCGTTCGTTAAATCAATCTTGCGTCAAAACGGTTACGACAGTTTCGAGAAGGATGCCATTGAGAGCTGACTGCGTGTTGCTGTGCGATGAGGCTACGAGCCTCTGACCGTTCAGCCCACGAACGTGCTGACTGACATGGGTCAGGCGCGTCCGATGCGGTTCGTGGGTCCGCGGCGTGGGTCCGAAGGCGCCGCGCATCCTGCGTGACACCGGCCGTGAGGCGAACAGTGCCACGCATCGGTCCCACCTCCGGAAAGGTCCGAAGCGCGTCGCCTTCTCTTTCCGCGCGCTGCCTCACGACACGCTTGCTGCCTTGTGCGAACGAGCGGAGGCAGCGTGAGCGCGAGGGGAAGACGTCGCCATCGGCCGAGGGACGCGCGGGAAGCGCGACGGGCGCGCCACCTGCCACGCCTCCCAATGGGCCGAGCGCACGGACACTTTGAGTCAAGTCAGTGCCGTGGCGAACAGTGTAGTGAAGAGCGAAGCGCGAATGAATGGGAAGAATGAATGGTTAGTGTATATAATGAACCTAGTATGAATGATGTGTGAATGTAGAAAAAAAAAAAAAAAAAAATTACCAACTATATTAAAATATAATTACGTAGAATATATAAATAGAATATAAAAATGATTTTAGTGTAGTTAGTAATGCCAAAGTGCAATTAAGATAACTTAAGGTCTAGATTGTAAGTTAGTTGTAAGTGAAAGCCCGCCGCTGTAGCTGCTTAAGCCGCAAGGCAGCAGCGTAATAAAAAAAAATCATTGAAAATAATTCCCTTCCTCCACAGGGATACTGTGGAGGGGAAAAAAAAAAAAAAAAAAAAAAAAAAAAAAAAAAAAAAAAAAAAAAAAAAACGGGTCCCGGCGGCGCCGCGCTGCCGATCGGCCTGCAGCCCCCGTTATTCCGTTCGCTTTAGTATGTCAGAGTGTACTGACCCTATACTAAACACAAACGTGGAAACACTCTTCAGAGTAGTGAAAAGAGCATCGTATTGAACATTTTCAATTCTTTATTGCATAGGAATCCGTCGTTACTGGTGAAGCAAATCGCAGAGTTTACTGGAATATCTGTATCCAGCATATTGAAACTCCTGAAAAAATATCTGAAAAGGGAAAACTACAAAAGCCAGAGAAGAAAAGAAGGGGGAAGAAACCTGTTATTCAAGTATACGATAACTTTGTAGGCAGTGCTGTTCGATCTAAAGTGCATTCTTTGCATCAAAAGGGCAAAAGTGCATTATGATTTTTCTTCTCATAATCTAGTGATACCTGCTCGTCACAAATAAAACCATGAATTTTGAAGACAGCCAAGTATAGGTGAACGATGTTGAAGTAATTCATCCATGCTAACGTTTCGAATTATATAATTTCTTCATCAGGGCAATTTTGAACACTTCTAGAACCCGTATTACGCGAGGTGTAAATACGGAAATGTGGCTGCGTACGAAAATATAATAAACTATCCTATGTAACAGTTAAACAGTTTTTTCTAGCTCCTTTCATATCCCTTATATAAGAAGGCAATAATAGCAACAGAACAATATTTAATGTAATATTTTGGTTACATTTTTGGTAAAATTGATCAATGACGAAAACCTTTTTCTTCAAAATTTTGAATAGGTTTTACACTATTTTCTTTTGCACACATGAATAACTTAGTGTACTCTACCATCGGGTTCTGTATGAGCAACGAGGACTGAATCACCCTATTTAATCATGAAACGAGATAGCGCCGCAGAAAAAAATGAATCTAACCACATTATTAGTCCAAAATGCCCTCCTGTGCACGAAACGTCATTTCTGTAATGTATAATTTCTCTTAATGTAGGGTTATCAGACATTCTCTTTTATGAGGAGTTAATAGTACTCATTTTTTAATAATTTCTATAAAAACGTATCTACGTTGTAATATATTTACTCGTACTATATAATAAATTGAAAATTAATGTAATTTTCCAAGTAAATATTTCACAGTTCCATGTATTCGAACTCTAGATGTCAGTTTTAAACTATTTCACCTACAAACCTACAACGTCACAATCGTTCCTATGACTGAGTGTAACTTGGAATACAGCCTTTCATCAAAATTCAACATGGTCGCCAGGGATACTTTTCCAAATTGTAACTTTTTGTGTATCCAAAACAACTTTTCACTTATGTTCAAAAATGCATTTTTAACTGAAATGCGGTACGAGACATCGAAACGTATGCAAGAGCATTTCCTAAATAATACTAAATTATCTTTTATTTAAAAGTAAAAGTTAAAAGATCGGACCAGAGATTACAAACAATGGTGAACATTATGTTATCATCCGACATATTTCATGTCTGAAGATAAGCCCGGTCACAACATTTGGCAGCACCCTGCACTTTTGCATAAACTGGGGTGTGAGAATTAAGAATCAAAGGAGAAATACGAATGATTTACATAAACGTGCGCCACACCAGACTAAAAGCATATTCTGCAACGGTTCCCTCATTAAAAAATTTACATTGAATTCCCAAAGTTTTCTAACATACAAATTAAGAGATTTAACAGTGTAAATGAAAGTAGTATGTTTGGAAGCCTACGCCAGTACTCGGAAATAAAGAATAAGAAATCAATATACGATAATTGGATATTTATGAAAATTATAAAATGCAAAACCACAGATTGCCTTTGACAGTGACGAAATGTACACTTTCATTTCTTAAACAGAAGCTATGTACTCTTTTTACTTCAATCTCGTAACCCTGTCTTAATATGAATGATTCAATTATTTAGTCATTCAATAGATATTCCACGGCGTGATTACATTTTGACTAAAACAGTTACACATTTGCTATCCTGATTTCGGTCACAGATCAATGGAAACAAGAAGAAACGTACGTATATTTCTTCAGAAGGTATCCGAAATACTAGGAATTACATTCAAAACATGTCCGACACGTTCGAAACACACAAAACAGGAGCATGGGTACCACCAGCGAGCATACTTGATGTGCCATGCATATTTTCGAACGTACTTTATGCCGTAGTACTTTGTTGCCGAAAAGTTTGTTAGAAGAAACAAAGCAAATTCACAAAATTTCATGAAGAAACTGACTTCTAATGAAGTTATCATGGTTAAAATTCTTTAGCAGTAATGCTTCTAAAATAACATGAAAAGAATATTCTTTTATGTCTTTTGCAAATCAAACATCCCCACAAGTTGCGAGTCACAACTTACGCAAACTATATTACTCGTTTATTATACATTTACAGACGGCAAAACTAAGAACTACTGTTGTGTTCAAAGTGAGGGTCCGAACACACATCTGAGTAGGGTCGGATGTGTTTCAGCATCTGACCAATGCTGACGCCTTCTGTGACGGGTCCGGGTAACAGTGGTTGTTTTGTATTTGTCGTTTCTGTGACGTCTGCGGAAAAATCATATCCACTTCGGCATGCGAGTGTGTGTTCTGACAGTAAAGTAATTATAAATATTGTAGTGAAATATGGCCGCAAGGAAAAGAAAGGTTATTACTACCCTTGGAGAGACCTATGAACAGAGCTGCAGTGCTATACACTGTCATAACAATACATCGACACCATTCACGAAAGGTAAGGAAAACACTTATTTCTCCTTTGCACACATTATTACACAATAGTAGTATTTGCCAGCTTCTACCCTGCCCTACCCCGCAATAAGCCGACCTGTATCCCCCTCTACGTCATTTAAAGCATAACCAATCGCTTAGTACCTACTGTAAACGTGCAATTTTCATTCAATCTGCGGTGACCTCGTGTAAACAGATCGAAGCGCTCCGACTGCAAATGTGAAGTAAACGAGTAAATACATTGTAATGAAGTATAGCATCTCGTTATTTTTTCTTGATAGTTGGGCCGTAACTGAGCCCTTGTCAAGTGCTGCCTGATAATTCTTGGGCTATCTTAATCGAACACGAGATTTGAGTTGCAAGCTTTAATTCTGTCCGATAATTATGCTCCTGTTTTTTTCTATTGAGGTGCAATTTTAATTTCGAGGTTGTAAAAGTTAGGTATAAGAAGCGCTCAGCTGATACGATTCTTTTCGCCCTTCATTTATTAATTCAGGGTTTGTGGCAGCAAGATAGATTACGTCGCTAAGAAAGTAACAATCATCGCATGATTCTCACACGTTTCTTGGGTCAAAGAGTGTTCCAAAGGAAATTTCTATTCTACCTTTTAACTTTAACTACGTCCTCTTAAACTAGGGAATACCCTCGTTCCCCAAGTTCATATCTCTCGTTCGTGGCTTTCGTTTTGAAATTCGTGTCGCGAGTCAATTCGTGAATCGGAATAAGTTAAGAACCAAGATCTCAAACCGTATAAGTAGACTCCTGCACTAAAAAGTTAAAAATATGTATGCAACCATGCACTTAAAGTGGGCAATATGCATATTTAAAATAGCCAACACATGCGCCTGAAACTCAGAATATGCGTTAAACAAAAATATAGTTAGCCACAGAAAACATTTTCATTATCTTTATTTTGCACTGCAGTAGAAACCGCGTTTAATAAAAATATTTTTTTAAACATAATAAACAAAAGGTATGGTGAAAGTAGGCTTCACGGTACACCCTCAGAGAAGCGTGGCGACAGGGTTAAGTCTAAGATCTAATTACTCTACGTGCTCTGATAGAAATGAATAAAACTTGCGTATAGGCGATTTTCATGGTTCGCCCTTCATATGCTTTGTCCCCACCGCATTGCAACGCCAATTTACTTTCAATGGCAAGTTTTCTCGCTTCGATCTCCAGGATCCAAGTCACGGCGAGGCTCGCGCCTTCGGTCCTCGCGTTCACTATAAACATCCTTGAGTCTATCCACCGCATAATTACCGATTCACTTTTATAAGACATCACTTTTCTGGAAAGCCTCCAGAATTCAAACTGCTTACTTAAACACGAACACACGCGAATAAAGTTACAGGATGTACATCGGTTTAAGCCAAAACAATCTTATAAGAAGAATATCGGAATTTGAAAGCAATCATATGAATGAAACTATTTTATCATAATACTATTGATATTGACTATTGATATTGTAGCATTGGCATGGATTAATTCACTTTTCTTTTGAAAGAGAAAGACACGAAAATAGCTGGATTCGACATTTCTGCACAAAATCATAGAATTTATGCACTTAAATATACCGCATAAATAACAAGCAGTTAAAGAATGCAGAAATAATATGCGGTAAAGGATAAAATGAATCAGAAACTTGCCATTGTACAAAATAAAAATAGGCTACTTTGCTTTTATTTTTGGTGACAGGAAAAGTTTTATTCCTTTCATGACATTCATTTCGCCATGCGCCATCAGTAAAAATATGCACTTGCCTACATTTCCACGATCTACTTATAAGTTATTATCCTTGGAATATCTGCTATATTTGCTGTTTGCTATACTCCAACGAAAGCTACAAGCAGAGATAGCAAGGAAATAGACAATTTTTCTAATTCAGTAACTTAGCTCCTATAATTAATTATTCGATCACTGAGGAGAAATGCGTGTAAAATTAAAATAATTTTAGGGTGGAAAGCCTCAGCTTTATCAGCCCCATTACATTCTTTGTGGATCCAGCATATATATACTGAACACGAAATAATCCTCCGTTGTGAGAGGATTTGTAATAATGGCCGTCTCAACATTTCGTCGAATTAAACGAACGTTTTAGATTACCTATTAAGTACATTCGTGTTTTCTGGTCGTTCCTACTATTCTGCAATGATTTTACAAGGTATAACGCAGAACATAGAAACATTTATTTCAATTGTAGCTGTCAATAATTTACATACTTCAAGCCTCACTTTTACTACGTTGCCCTCAGTTCATTCTCTCCTATAATATTTTAAAGCAGAAACTACACATACCTGCAAACCTGCACAAGATGTTCGAACCTCGAGGATCACGTGAGGTGTTTGCCCCCAGGCCTGCTGTTGCAGAATGCCGGGACGGGGTTGGCAGCGACACTACGTCACTCATCTATCGAGCACAAACCAATCCGATACTCATTGTCACTCTCTGAAAGAAACTTTATTGTTGGGTTACATACACATTTTTGGGCTCTTATCATCCTACTATTATGCCAGAAACGTTTTACGTAATTTTAAAATTGACGCTGTCGAAACTCGTTAAAAACGGGCACAAAAATAAAGACACATTTTGGTTCCCCGGGTAAAATATAGAAGGACTTTCGCCGTTATTAAAGTCATAAAATATTATGCTCTTGATTGAGACGTTTGGTTGTAATAATTTGCAAAATCATTTTTTTAAATATATTATGAAATATACTACTGAGATCACTTATATAAAATGAGTGAATACTAACATGTGTTCTAATATTTGTGCAGTCATTGAGGGACATTTTATTCATAAATCTTTCCGAATAAGAAAACATGTGAAACATATTCATCAACGCACTGAGCACGTTGCCGATACGTAAATAACCCTCGTGCATTTTCAAACCGGAGAGTTTTCGGATCGTGCACACATTTTCTCTTCTTGAAAAAAAGAAAGAAAGAAAGTGCATGTTAACTGTCTGGATAACTGTACCTATTTTAAATTAATTGCCTTCACATTTTAAATATTTGATTAGAAAGTCTATTATATTAAGTGCAACAATTTATATATTGAAATCGATTGATGAGGGAATATTAATATGTTTACAATTCTCCCCATGATTTAAAACATAAAATGTAGAATTAATTCCTTTGTTCTTCCATAAATTTATATTTATATATCATTTTAATGAATTTTTTATGTATTCATTTAAATTATATATATATATATATATAATATATATATATATATATATATATATTATTATATATATATAATATATATTTAAATTCATTAAATGAAAAACGTGATTTATTTTATTTTCAAAAAATGAAATTTTGAGAACTGAGAATTTTCTTCATATAATAATTAAAAGATTGTTGTTAATGATATTTAAATACCAAATACACCTTACTTACTGAAAATAATTTTAAAAATCCATAATTTAATCCTGAAATAAATCCTGAATCCTGAATTTCTTTCTCTCCTGGTGATTGTGAAAGATATAGAAATATGGAACAATTGGAGTACAGCATAATACTGTAGTGTTATATTACTCTAAATAAACTTCCAAATAAAATAAGGAGCTAGTATATAGATGGGAGTTATTTCCATTGACCAGGAGGAAGAAAATATGAGATGATTTAGAAAATAATGTCTGAAAAGTATTAAGAAACTTGAAATGAACCCTGCAATTGTGCATTCCATGATATGTAAAAAAATCCTCAACTATCTTTAATAAAATAAATAACATTGAAATTAATAATTCTACAGATTTGCATCATTTGTTATTAATTTTTATTATTATTATTATTAATACTATTATTATTATTATTATTATTTTTATTCAACACACTAATTAAATTTATGACTTTTCTCACTTTTTATTGGACAAGTTAGATCATATAAAAAAAGAAATATTAAATAAAGTGGATCTTTTAATAAGCTTTATCATCTGATAATTATTTTGTAAGAATTGTTTAAAATATATTTAATAATTCTATACATTTTTAATTTATACTCAATGCATTTATCACATTTATTTAGTGCATGGTAAGACTGTATTGTAATATTGTGAATGGAATTCAATATTTGTAATTCACAATTCAATGAAAGTAGTGAAATAGGAAAAGGTTATGAATATTAATTTTTGTGTTTAATTGAGTTAAAATTTTGCCAAACATTTTTGTTTAATAGAGTTAAAATTTAGCTTAAGGTGCTGCATGCAATTTAGAAAGTCCTGCAATTGGAGTGAACTATGATGAAAATAAAATGTAATGAAATAATGTGACAGAACTTTATTACAATTTAATCAGTATTATCAGAACACCAAAGGAAATGTACATATACAAGTACATATTGTAATTATAAATTAATACAATCCAAATAAATGTATATTTTTAAGAGAAAGAAAAAACATACAAATGGTAACAAAATTTTAACAATAAATTTGGTATATTATGTAATAACACATCCACAATTGTAGTTATTATTTTCACTAAGAACAGCAACAAATAGGAATATATATCTAACCTGTTTGGAATCAATGTCTACTGAAAGTAACTATGAAACAAACAATACAAGAATGTACAAGAAAAAAACTGGAATTAATACTGTGTTTATGGAAATTTATGCCAAGATCTATAAAGCAGGGATATATTTAGTGTTAGTATGGATACCTAATAAAATGAAATGTCTGTTAACAAGTAAAGACACTCGTAAAATAATCTCTTCATTTGAGTTAAAAACAATTTACACAACATTTCATGTACTCCAAATAATATTTTAAAATACTTGGTAAAGCAATTTCAAAAGAAATGGAACCATGACTGGACAGTTTACAAAACCAGCTTATTACATAATAAGAAATACATTTAACTCGATAATCACTAGTAGAAAATGCGTGTGTAAAAATATAACCTCCTTTTCGATAATCATTTTGACAAATGTTTTTTAATTAAACAATAGCTCATGAACGCACGCACATGTGCACACGTCCACTCGCACGCGTCCAACCCGCGCCTCTCTACCCTCTCTCTCCTCTCCATCTCTCTCCTCTTTCTGTCTTCTCCCTCTCTCATTTCTCCCTCTCCCCTCTCGTCTCTCTCCTCTCCCTCCCTCCCCTCTCTCTATCCTCTTCCTCTCTCTGTCCTCTTCTTCTCTCTGTCTCTTCTTCTCTCTATCCTCTTCCTCCCTCCCCTCTCTCTCTATCCTTTTCCTCTCTCTCCTCTCCCTCTCTCTTCTCTCCTTCAGGTCTCTCTCAAACACACACGCACACACTCGGCAGAAAGCTGTATGGGGCCAACGCTCAAATATCCCTCGCTCACATTTCACTCCTCCACACTGCGAAAAGAAGTTGATAACCTGGAATGTGTCGAGTGTTTATACTCTGTCTGAGCGAAACATAGGAACTGTGCCGAACCGTGGACGTCCGTGGGTCGAAACGCTGACCTCCGGAAACGGCCTTTGCAACAGCGCAGTTCTCGTAGCTCTTACGAAGTGGCAACCGATTCCTAGAACGCATCGGCAGCGCCAGGAACGTTACGTGAAGTCAGTTTATAAACCGGGGTCAGATCTCTAGCATCCTTCAGCGCGTTCGTCTTTTCAAAACTGAACTCAAATGCCATATACGTTGGGTCTCTTGTGAGTTTGAAATGCACAATGCCAAGCGTTCTAGGCAATTCTACTGGTCAGTTGTAAGGATATCGTAAAATAATGCTATTTTTTATGAAAGTGAAAAAGAATCCTGATCGTACGGTTCGCTTGTAACATTCTAAGTTGCACTCTTATGTTTTGACACTTTTTTATTAGATCATTCTGGAGAATATTTAGTTGCTAAAATGCGTAAAAGTGAAATGTATGTATGTATGTATGTATGTATGTATGTATGTATGTATGTATGTATGTATGTATGTATGTATGATGTATGTATGTATGTATGTATGTATGTATGTATGTATGTATTACTATATTGAATTGAGAGTCTACCTGGAGGGGAATTCTAGCTGCCGGCTGCTCTGATCAATAGAGAGCGGATTTTTATATAGAGGCTGACTAGGACACAGGAACAAATATCAATATTAACGATTAGAAAGAACTAATATTCCATTGACTCATCAGAATTGAACTTTTCTTCCACAAATTGAAATTCCAAAATATCCATCATTGAAATGAAAGATATAAAGAAATTGGCACTCTAAGGAAAGAACTAGCTAAGGTAATTTTGAAAAAACTAATCGAGCTCGATATCCAATGAATGCAAGAACATGACAGCATTTTTAAAACATATACAACGGAAGGAAATGAGAGGTTGAAGATTGACACTATATGCACCAGATAAATCGTCAGATTTTAGATACTAGGTAGAAACTTTGTAATTATTTACAGTGACTCAACTTGTCAATGTAAATTTACAAAATCAAAGGAAGTCCTGGACGAGGCTGACTTTACTCGGCTACCCGCCGGCGGGCGCGCGGCCCCTGACGGAGACAGGCGGGCAAAGACTACAGTCGCTTTCGCTGTCGTCGCCTGGCGAAACATAAGACCTCGGGCCAAGAGTTGGCCTCGGCCTTTGGCGACAATTCCTCGCTGATGCCGATGCAGGGAGCAGTTAGGTTGGGAAGCGGAGGGCACGTTGTGACTCATAATCGGAAAGAAAGCTGTAAGTTTAAAATGAAACAGTAAATTCGATTTCATTCAACAACAATATTATATGAAAATCTTTTTTGACAGATCTTTCTTAACAAGTGAAGGAATGGGCTGAGGTCATCCAAGGGCTATTGCGATGAATAGAACGCTCTTCACTGTCTTGTCCTGAAGTTGAGTTCTTTCGTTTTTTATTCTTTTAATTGCAAAAAAGAAAAAATCACAACATTATTATGACCCAAACATAGATATAATCTTCGCTGCATTTTATGAAGCTTGGGAAAGAATTTCACATACATATTCTGAGATCATCGTGGTTGCGTAGATGGTAAATAATGTTTTCTTACTGGTGTATATTTGATCTGATGAATCTCACTTAGTCTCGTATAAACACCGTCCAAAGAAAACAATATTGGGATAATTCTGCATTGTTGAGCCATGTGTAGGGTGGGTACATGTATCGAAAAAATATTAACAATCCAACATTCTTTTTTATTCTATTTCACACATGTGATATCTCACTTATGAGACCAGTTCCGACTATATACTGAGTAATGATGTGATTAACTGCGCTCACAAGTACTGCAAATATTCATCAATGCAAATGTCAGCCAGTGGCTGCACAAAATGAAACTGGCGAAAGATTTTTTCTTATAAATTTAGAAATTGGATGTATCCACATTTTCGTTCCCAGGGTCCTGTAATCAGAGTTTTTCTGCCGAAAAATTGCCGTTTCGCGAGTCTGGGAGGTTGCTAAAAGAACAAGAGGGGAACCGCTGGTCCTTGACGGATTGGTGGATAGTTATGAAATGTTACCAATTTCAAGGTTCGAAAAAAATACTTCGCCGAAAATGGGACTATTGCCATATTTTTTATTGTTTCTTGATACATACGAGGTGAAATTTAAAGAAAAAAGTGTATTAATATAAAACATATTTTTTTACAGTCTTGACCAATACGTGCCCAGTACAACTGAATGTAAATTGTCTCATTAACACTTATCGTCATTCATTACATTAAACAATGTGTGGAAGTTCCTTCAATTTTAAAACAACTATTTTGTGCCCTCTTTAAAGAAAATATTTCTCAAAATTAATCATCATCATCATCATCATCATCATCAACAGCAAGGATTAGACCTCTTGGTCTGTTCCGTCTCAGAATTGTTCATGCCATCTCTTCAAGGGACGTCCTACACTTCTTTTTCCTTTCGGTACATATTGAAGAATACTTATTCCATGTTCTGGCATTCTCAGGACATGACCTTTCCAGTTTTCTCAAAATTAATACTATAGAAATTAATATGGAATAAATTATTTACAATAATTATTTACTATCGTATATCAATTATTTAAATTATAAATTATCTCAATTATCACAAGTCTCGGTTTTCATTCCAAAATGTATTCTGTAGTGGTTATGTTGTATGAAAAATCTTGAACTTGTTCACACATTCTCAATTTTCCAGTAGCCTAATTTTATAACGGTATAGAATATCAAACTATCATAGCTATAAACTCTTGTCATAGGAACACAAGTGGCCATAAAACCACATATTTTCTGGCATATTTCTAAATTTACAATTTTCGAAAATTTAGAGTTCAAGGAAAATGAAACCTACGCCATTCTTTTAAGCGTCCCTTATTCTATCCATGGAGGAAATATTAAAAAACATGTTACAAGGCAGGTTTTGAGAAAATATGTTAAAATGTTAAAATAGCATTTATTTCAAGCAAAAATTATACAAATACTACTTTCTGCAAAATATTGTACATTACCTTGTTTAAAGAGGTGATTATTTACTATAGACGTTAAGTAAATATCTCTACCTTCAATTTTGTAGTTTTGAAATGTTAATATTTTGAAATTTTCCAAAATAGAGATACTTCACCGAGAGTGGGACATATTTTTTACTGTCGCTTGGCAACAAGGCGAAGATTTAAATAAAACATTTAGTGACGAGAATTAAGTAGAATTAAGGGAATTTAAGGCATAAACTTCATTAAGAGAAGAAAATTCAATTCTCGATAGTCGTAGGAAGACACCCAAAAAATTGGCACTTTTGCAATTTGCTAGCGTTCCCGCTAGCGTTGTTCACAGACGGGCTGACGACATACAGACGGTTTGCCGTCATTAGATTTTTCGGTATCAAGGACCCACAAAACATGGATTGTGGCTACACCACATGATAGAGGACTTTTTCTAAATTTAGCAACTGGATTTATTCACTTTTTCGTTACCAGGGGCCTGTAATGAGTTTTTCTGCCGAAAATTGGCCGATTTTCTTGGAAAACATTAAAAAACTCTTTCTCTACTCCGTAAAAAGAAAGGAAAAAATGTGGAGCTATTTTTGAGAAAATTTTTAAAATGATTTTGAGGCTAATGTATTCTCAAAAATCGAAATATGTTTTAAACTCTCAAAGGTTTGAGTTCCTTCAGATCGATCGGGGAATATCAATTTTGGAGAAAAACGGCTGAACTGTTCAGTGGCTAACGTTGACAGCACACGGTCATAGTTTTGCTGTCAATCAATTTTTCCGTATCAACGACCCACAAAACATGGATTTTGAATACACCACGGGCTACAGGAAGTTATTTACTGTATACGGAAATAGGATTTATCTACCTTTTGCCACCAAGTCCCGTTAATAAGAGTCTTCTTGCCGAAAATTCGCCGCTCTCCACCGCACGATCACTACAGATATAACCTTCCCTTCTGACGAAGTAAATGCAGGAAGAAAAAGGGGAAGCCGTTTTTGAAAAAAAAAAATTGAACTGTTTCAGTAAAAGTGGCATTTTCCCAGCATTTAATCTCAAAAACTTGTGATGATGTGTTCTGTGCTTTTCGTGTTTTTATAGGAAGTCTACATTGTGTAACTTTTAAGTCTAAAAGCAACGTATTCGTGGAATATTAGCATTTTAATTTCGCTCTACAATTTTTTTTAACGTTTGTATTACTCTGCAATATTATTTGAAAATTCTCGAATTATTTTAAAATAAACTTGCAATATTTGCTACAATGTTTCTCATTACCGTTAACCAACTTGCAAAAGAATCATAATGCTCTCATCTTCAACAGCAATGTGTCAGTTTTTATCATTAAGGAAGTAAATTTTCCTTGAGATGCAATATTTCTTTTAGCATTTCTAACTGCTACTGCGATCACTTTATTAATTCGCACTTACCTTCTAATTGTTTATTTTTTCTAAAGCAAAAGAATTATCAAGGCTGTCCACGTATTACATATTTTTTTGAATATTAGAAAACTACTTACATAACAATTTACGTTCATATTTTTGAAATTACCCAAGTTAGTTATAAAAATATATGCAGATACCATCCAATAGAACATAGTGACTTCGAAGAAAACTATGCTCTTAAGTACATTTTATTCAACATGTCGCCAAAACGTATTGTTGCAGAGGAAAGAAACGCGAAAGACAACAAGACTTTTGAAATGGCAGAGAATTGGCACAGTAACTCTTGAAACATTTTGACGTCTAAATCCTCATGAAAACGTTGACACACTAACATTGTCATATCATGTATAGTAAACGGGCGAACAACAATGGTAATCATTGCCCCAGCGATTCCAACGGTTGAAAAGGACCAATCGTCCAAATACTCTTTCCCATCATTATTGCGAACCAGCGAACTACTATAAGGCCCAGGCGCAGGGGACGAGGTTTGGATGGAGAAGGGAGGGCGAAGCAATGAGGGGAAGGTCCCTTCGCGGGGCACCATGGAAGGGGGCGAAGGGGAAACGATGGCGAATTCCCCTCCGCTCTGAGAAAAGAATAGCCGCACCCGGAGTTCATTCAGTCGGTTACCGCAGCCGCACACACATAACTGTTGCGCATTAGGTCTTGGAGAGGATTTTTTGCATGTGAGAAGATGAGAGAAATTGTTCACATTCAGGCCGGGCAATGCGGAAATCAGATTGGATCTACGGTAAGAATAACGCAAATCATTATTTTGTGTAACTAACAGTGCTTCTATTTTTACATTTAGCGCCCCCACACGTTCTAATAAAATGCTTCTGATTTTATGAATCTGTGTAGCAGACAAATAAAATGTTATGTGTACATGTGATTTCTAAATTTAAAAAATTCTGTAATGGCTAGTTAAATTTCCACTATTCTGCCTTGTATGTAAAATGCCTTGATGTAAAATGTCAAAAGCATCTTGAGATTTTAAAAGAAAGTATTTATGCAACTATTAATTTCTATTCAATGGAAAGTCTTTTTCTAGAGTTGTTACTTCTAGCATGCTTATACAAGTTTCTTAAAATTGAGATATTTGTAGCTCCAAAGGTCGTGTATTTCACTCTAGGAGTAGTATTTCGATGTTATTGCAAAGTATCAGCGCCTATCTATACCAAACTGAATTTTCCCCCTTCATCCTTTCCAGTTCTGGGAAACCATCTCCGAGGAGCATGGCATTGATCCTACGGGAGCCTACCACGGCGACGCCGCTACCCAGCTGGAGAGGATCAACGTGTACTACAATGAGGGCTCCAAGGGAATGTACGTGCCACGCGCCGTCCTCGTGGACCTGGAGCCCGGCACCATGGACGCAGTGAGGACGGGCCCCATTGGCCGCCTGTTCCGCCCCGACAACTTCGTGTTCGGGCAGAGCGGCGCCGGCAACAACTGGGCCAAGGGCCACTACACGGAGGGCGCCGACCTGAGCGAGGCAGTGATGGACGTGGTGCGCAGGGAGGCTGAGGGCTGCGACTGCCCGCAGGGCTTCCAGCTCACGCACTCGCTGGGCGGCGGCACGGGCTCAGGCATGGGCACTCTGCTGCTGTCAAAGGTCCGTGAAGAGTACCCCGACCGGATCGTCAAGACGTACTCTGTGGTGCCCTCCCCGAAGGTGTCGGACACGGTCGTGGAGCCGTACAACGCCACTCTGTCAATCCATCAGCTCGTCGAGAACACTGACGAGACCTTCTGTATGGACAACGAAGCCTTGTATGAGATCTGCTACCGCACGTTGAAGCTCCCGACCCCCAGTTACGTGGACCTGAACCACCTCATCTCCCTGACCATGTCCGGGGTCACCACCTGCCTGCGCTTCCCTGGCCAGCTGAACGCCGACCTGAGGAAGTTGGCCGTGAACATGGTGCCCTTCCCCAGGCTGCACTTCTTCGTGCCGGGCTTCGCCCCGCTGACGGCGCGTGGCAGCCAGCAGTACCGCGCCGTGACCGTGGCCGACCTCATGCAGCAGATGTTCGACGCCAAGAACATGATGGCGGCGTGCGACCCCCGCCACGGGCGGTACCTCACAGTCGCCGCGGTGTTCAGGGGGCGCATGTCGATGAAGGAAGTGGACGAGCAGGTGATGAATATGCAGAATAAGAACAGCAACTACTTCGTCGAATGGATTCCCAACAATATGAAGACGGCCGTTTGCGATATTCCTCCGCGAGGTCTCAAAATGGCCGCCACCTTCATGGCCAATACCACCGCGATTCAGGAAGTGTTCAAACGCATTTCCGACCATTTCACTTCAATGTTCAGGCGCAAGGCTTTTCTTCACTGGTACGTGGGCGAGGGTATGGATGAAATGGAATTCACGGAGGCAGAAGCAAACGTGAACGACCTGATTTCTGAATACCAGCAATATCAGGAAGCTACTGCAGAAGACTATGAAGACTTAGAGGAAGATGAAGAGCAGGTAGAGGACGACGATTAAAGAATGTCGTTCCTGTTATTTTGTTAAATATATTTTTTGTTGAAGATCGAAAAAATAAATTTTAAGATGTTTCTTTCCTTTTTATCCTTTAAAGACCAAATTGTTAATAAACTAGATGTAATTTCTAATTAACATTAAGATAAAGCTTAGTGACATTGAAGTCTTCACTGGTTTTCAAGCACTATCCCCTGAAAAGGTACACAATTGCCTCGTAAAGGATTCATTGTTGAACAAATTGAATTCACTTCTCACTACTAAAATGTTAATTCTTTCACTACAGAATTAAAAGAATTAATGGTTTTTAAAAATGCCCCTGACCATTTATAAATTAAGCTATTGAGATGAAAATATACGTTTAAGAGTGTAATTTGACCATGGTGGTTGCGCTTCTCTCGAAAAGTTTTAAGTCACAATCCCCTGCATTGGAAGTTTGATTTCATTCGCTGCGGACACTGGATGGCGTTTCTCGGACTTGAGCGTTGAAATCGCCGCTTGCCAGTGCTCGCACGGCTCTCTCAAATGCCTTCAGATGGGCTCCGCAGAACAGAAGTTGCTGATATATCCTTCAGAGCTGCCTACAGACTTGCTTATAAACTGGGACTAAGCAGCACGATTGAAGCTACATAAGAAATCAGTTGTGCATACATCTGATGTAAAGTTGTTTGTGATATTACGGTTAGTTTCAATTTTAGTTCGGTATTCTGAATTTTCAATTTTCGTATCATTTTAGACATACTATTCTTGTAATTAGGTGGCTTTACTTGTATCTAGTATGAAGACTAGTAACGTAATAATGGGTTTGAAAAAATATTGCCGATTTCGATAATTCAATGTAAATGTACGATGGTAATTGCATAGTATTAAAATTTATAAATACGTATGTTCCTCCAGTAATTCAAATTTATCAATTTTTCAAGTGGATAAAAATATTTTATTCTCAATTTGCGTACTATTTGTTTGTGCTGTGAAAAAACAGTTGCCGTCCCACACAGGGAAGCTACTGAAAAAGAAATCCTCACTTTTCACGATGACTATGAGGGTACTCAACAACCACTCATTCGCTTTCCTTGCATTTGGAATAGTTTGAATTGCTGGTTTGTTCTTACAGCCATTAGACATCGAGCTCGATTTTTGTTAAGAAAATGAACTTTATTAGTACCTATCTTCCACGTACTACCAATTTTTTTATATCGTCCATTTCTATGATCGATGCTTCGGAATTTTAATCAGTGGAAAGGAAAGTTCGTGTCCTAGTCGATAGCAGATGGAGCTGAACCATCATTGCAAGTCTGGACGCTGTGAAGGCCGCCTTCCCCACAGGCGACAGTTGCAAGGGTTACTACAGAAAATTTTATGTTTTAATTTAAAATCACATGTCAGGAAGTATCTATACAGCATCTTGCTGGACCAATAATTCTCCATTGTAGCGCAATAATTGTATTTAATATCTGGAACCGTTTAGAAGACTGTTGGTGGTCTATAGTTCGTATCAATGCATACAAAAAGCTAACTTATAAAATGTAAGCGTCATTTAAAAAATAGATCAGCGGGCTTTAACGTGGTGACTAAAATGGTTTATTTCCTTTCAGTGTCGTATCGACCAAGCCTAAATGAAAAATATGTTTAACAACTTTTTTAAACAAAGTATTAGTGTATGATTGTCTGCTTTAATGTGCTATTTACATGCTTATTCTTCAATTGAAAATTATTAAATTTCTTCTGATATATTTTTGAAGTGTAATGAGTTTCACTGTAATCCTGAACACATTGAAAAACAAACTTGATATTCTTTTGTAAACTGTATACCAAATATTCCAATTGCAATTACCTTCGTCTCTGGAGACCGGAAAAATAAGTAGTATAAAACGTCAAAATATGTACATAAATATGAAATTAAAACAGAATACGTATTAAATATGTAAAATCAGATGTAATATGTAATACTAATACTGTAATTATAACACACAGTTACAAAATACGAAATTGCATTACAAAAAGTTTCCAAAACAATTTTTTTTAAATAATACAAAAAAATCATTTGGAGTGCAAAAGTTCGTGTATACTTTGCACCATACAACTTTCCGTCAGTAGCAAAAACGTTATCTAGTTTTATCGAGGACCGCAGTTTAGCACCCAGACCAAGGGGCATATAAGCCAGATTACGCGCTCCTGAGCCACGGCGATATCTACGACCAGCAAACTATCTCACCCGCGTGCAACATTCTCATCGAAGTGTTACACGTCGGCGAACGCCAAACTTTCTCGGAAATGAAGGTTAAAGGTCACGAAACTCGATGACAATGATTCCTCTCACCTCTATTTCACCAATAATGTAGGAAAAAGCCATCTCGAACAGGTCAAGCTATCTCGATCTACCCCATCTCCATCAGGTTTTTGTTCAGTTTCCCTGATACATTGAGAAAATGCTGAGATGGCCCCTTATTTGGCTTCTGGACGGAAATGTAGCTTCACTATGCGCACGTTTTGTTGAACTCTCCGTTTGCGTGTCGCTGTAGGAGTAGAGGTAAGGGCGAGTTTCTATTTTGTTAGTAATGCAAAAAATAAAATCTGCAGTTCGTTTACCGTTGCAAATAAGTTTTCTATAACTCGGGAACGAAAATGTCTAGTTTTCTAAATGTCGCCACTGTCGCGCTTTGTAAAAAAATATCATTATTATTATTTTTAATTTGTTTTTAACTTTTATTCATTTTTCAACTATTTATAGTTAAACTGATGGAAAGGGATTCTGAAACTCAAGAAAACGTACTCAAATTATTTTCTTCCCCATACGTCACATACAGTATTTTACTGTTTTTGACTAAATAAATCTTAATGTAGGCTGATTATTTTGAAAATACTTCTTTTCATAAAAAATATAATAAAACTCAAGAAAATGGTTAGAATAAAAAAATATATATTGTGAAAATAGCAAATAGGTAACATGGTACTAAATATGTGATGATGTATTAGGAGAGCGACGATTCGCCAATATTACAATTTTGAGAACGGTAAGTAGAAAGACCAAAAAATATGTAATTACATAAACATCCGGTCTCTATTCATCACCATGATGCAGAAATATTTGGTTTTTGACTGATACATTACTTTGTGTTTTCGAGAGCGTCAATTTGTTTGGGCTTTACCCTGTAAGTGTGGTGCATGTTAGTTATATCAGCGGACGTGGCAATGTTCGTCCCCTACTACAACAAGCGATTCCACGCAAGCCCACTCGTCGGATTGCGAGGGTTTCCCTCTCCAGGTACATCCGCCAGAGAAACACCACCCCAGCCAGGACAAGCTAAAGGTTCACGACTGATCTCCCGACATAAAGGATCGAATGCGCTTTCTGGTCGGTGTGATAAGGTAACTGCAGCATTCGCCTCGTATTGACTGGAGACACCATGGTAAACTATCAGTCAGAGCACTCGGTCACTAGAAATATAATCCACACAGTGGATGAATGTCACTTAGCTATATAGGATGAAAATCCGACATCGTCGAGTTTTACTCAACAGATGGGCTCAAACTCAAAATTGGATATTTTGTAATTTCCAAGAACAGTTTATCATATTATAGAATCCTGCTCAAATCTGTCTTTCCTCACAAGTCCCCCTGATTATCAAACGTTCGTCTGTCATTATGTTCCGTACATGTGGTTTCACAATGATTCGCTCCCGTGCAATAAAAAACGTCGCAAAGTCAAATCAGCTACAGATTTCGGCTGTTGCCTTTATCGTGCCCTTCGCGTCGTGTTTCCGCGAGAACATGGAGAATGATAATTCTAATAAATGGAACTTCGTTATTCGACTTCCATAGTGGGCATGGAAGCTCCCGATTGGTTGACAGTGTTCTCCTCTCAATCCAGCTCGTGAATTTTAAGAGACACGACATTTAAATCGGGATATACCCAGGGTGTACATTTTATCTTTCGCCGAAGGTGACCCACCGCTTACCTCAGCGATCGAGCCCTCGGGGCCCCGGGGTCTTGTCAACAAGGCCCCGTTCATCCGGCACGTTCGTCCCTCGGCGCGTCCGGCCGATTCACCAGAGTCCCGAGAGCAGTCAGCTGTGCATAACGAAGTTTTCTTTGCAGCAGAGAATACTTCTTTTCGACTTCAGTCTGCCTGTAAGTGACGTAGGAGGTTTATTGACAAATTTCCGGCGCGAATATTTCACATCGGTCGACGAGTTTGAAGCTTGTCAAGAAACTTCTCATCTATGGCATTTTAATTTGGTAAACAAAAGAGTGGAAAGCGCCATGTCTTGACAGAAGAGAATGTGAACGAAATTTCTGCCAGGTTACAACAATCTCCAAGAAAATATTCGCACAACAGGATCTCTATTTAAGCGAAAATAGCAGCAAATAGCAGCAACTCCTCGAGACTTATTTCAAAAGGTAAACAAGATCATATTCCGGAAGTGCCAAAAATGTAAAGAAGCCGGACACCACTTCCAGCATCTTCTCTAAGGTACGTTCAGCGTATCGGTGGTGTTGACTCAGAGCTCCGTCAGGCGTGCAAGCCCTCAGCTCTCCGGGACATGCGACCCGAAGCTTCGCGAACGACAGCATCCCTAGTTCAATAAAGAGAGGCGTCAAAGAATCACGTGGGTGGGATTTACTTGTTACTCGTACAATCCTTTCGTGAAATTTATAAGTCTGGGAGTTATAGGAATATTATGCCATATTTCAGGAGGTAATGAACATCGCGAACATACAGAACAAGCAGTATGATGGTTGACTTAATGTGAAAGAATTCTAAATGCAGTATAATGAAGTTAAAGTTGTGTTCAATTGTTCAAATGGACGTTGCATTTGAGGTTTAATAGAATTGAGAAAACCAAAAACGTCGCTTGCTCGACATCAGTCATTAGCTTAACATACTTTATTATGAGGAGGTACCAGAACGTTCAAAATTAGATAAAATATACTTTGAATATTCTCCTTAATACATCCCTCAACTTATGCAAAAATAACAGTAATTCACTGACATGATTCTCTCTACATTATCAGAAATCAAAAAGATAAATGCTACTAACCATATGTTCATTTTCAGCCTTGCGAAATCATTTGATAACACCCTTTCTCCTGTCAAGCCCCAAAATGATGTTACTCTGTATTTTTGTCGACACAGTTTGTTATGACACTAAGAGATTTGGATGATTTTTACAGTGAGGAGTTGGACTATGACAATTTTGAAAC